AGTTAGGATTATGAATTCTTCATCAAGCCACTATATGTTGTTTCGTGGTATGATGTCAAATCCAATGCTGAAAAGGTTTAAGGGGTATAAACATTTTTGCAAAGCTCTGAACAGCCCAAGAAACTAATCAGAAACATTCTTCTTGGTGAGCTCTTTCACACTAAAGTTAAGCTTTTATGTCTTAATTTTCCTCTTTTCCTCTTTATTCAACTGCTTCCCATCAAGAGCACGTTGTTCCAGACATGCTCTGCATATTGTCTGAAGAGGTTTGCAAGCTGAAATCCTCTCACGAAGGAATCATTGAGTTGGGAGTGCAGAAGGCACTTTACAGAAAATGAGAAGAGCCTGGGTGGGGTATTTGGACTCGAGCACTGAGTTGTCGGTGTTTATTTTGGAAATGCAGCCCAGCAGACCTGAACTTGAAGAACTGATCCCTGATCGTTGCTAGTACAAGAGCAAGATGGGAGCGTTCATTTACAATGTTCAATACGGGTGATTTAAAGCAAAAGAGTGGTTTCCTATAGGGAGCCTTTTGACACACCATGGGGACCCAGGAGCTGTCTGCTCTGAGAGGAAACAGTGAGGCGGTGAGGTGATTAGTGGTTACAGTTTAACTGGAGAAAAATGCACGGTGTGTGAGCCACGCCAGCCAGGCGACAAGGAGGTATGCACTAGTGTCTTTTGACTTCCAAGTGAGCGTGAGTCAGGCTCCGCGCTGCGCTGCGTCCGTTCTGTCTATTTTTACTATATGGGTCCATGGAGCCGACCATCGCCCCACAAACACATCCCGTAACCCACCAATGAGGACTCTGTCACTCCAGTGGCATGTGGCAATAATTATACATAAGAGCATTTACGGAAAAATAAGTGACATTAAGAGCCTTGTGATTCAGTCTGACTCAGCTCTTTTTCAGGTAAATTTTAGTTGAGTCACACTGAGCATGAATTAGCAATCTGCAGCAACAAAAATCAGCACAGGTACCAGGGACATCTTCAGTCAAAGTCAATAATATCCCCTTAAAGGAGGCATAAGCATGGTGACTCCATACTATACACACTGAGCTTTAAACCTCTTTCACATTATCTGGAAATGCAAACTCAAGTCAAACAATGGAGTGAATTGTGATGTGGACATAAAAGTCAAAACTAAACCAAACCACAGCTGCAATGCGGTCGCAAAGCTTTTCATAGTAATATTAATAACTGTTTTTGTGTGCAATCACAAGATATCCAGCTCTGTCATGGGGAATCTAAAATAACACTCTGCATCTCTGTGAAGCCTGATGCAAGTGTGGATCAGGTGCCTCGTTTTCACAGCATGCTGCCTCATTCACAGACCACCATAATCCTCTCTCCCCTGCTGCTCGGTTGCCTTTCAGCTTGACCGTAATCCACAGCAGCTATGGCGCCCCGCTGCAGTATGAATTCAAGCACTTCCCAAGTTTGAACAAGTTAGCGTTTCATTCATCGATTGCGATGTCCAGAGCTGCTCTGATTGACTGGTAAACATGCTGCTGTGGACTCACGTGCGCTCTGAGCGAAAAGCTTGTGGACTCTGGATCAAAGTATAAATCCTGAGAAGTAATAACAAGTATATGAGTTTGCATCAGGACCAGGTTGTACGTTAAGCTTCAAAAGGCGAAAAGAAGAAACCGGAGCAACAGGCAAAACAAATAGACAAATTGAAAACAGCATTAAAACCCAAACAAGCTGTTTATCATTTAGGCAAAAGACTTTAGCCTTAAAAACTCTAAAGCTGCCCATAAATCTGCCTTTCTTGTTGTTTTCTGTCAGGCAACGACATTTTTATGACTTCTAATGGCGAAGGCAAAAAGGTTTTTTGCTTTTGAAAGTGACACTGTTATTGAGATGCACTGGCAGAGCCATTCACAACATTCCTTAATGTCTTCTTAAAAGATTCTGGAGGTTATGTGGTAAAGCAGAAGAATTTCACTTGTGCTGAACTAGAGGATGTAATGTGTTGTTCTTGATGAAAAAGGCAGATCCTCAACCCATGGTACGGTCCTTACTGATGCTGCCTGCAGCCCAATAACCACAAAACTCTACCTGCTTTGAAAACACTTCTCTCTCACGCCACAAATATGCCCCGTTTTATTTGTGAGCCATGGTGTGTGGCTCACACACCGTTCTAAATTTGCAAGGAAACACCAAAGATGAAAACAAGACAGAAAAGAGGAAGAGCTGGAGGGAAACTTCCTGATGGCTTCCAACATTTCTGATATGAGAGGGAGATCCAACTGAAGATGTTTTTTGTGGGCCACAATAAAGATGCAACAGCGGAGCTTTAGGTCGTGCAGAAGGAATCAAGTCATGTGCAGATGTTGTGGAGAAGCATTCTTCTTGACTGACTCCTCCGTCTGTGAGGTGAGGAGTGGATCGTTCAACAGGACTACGCTGCAGTTAAACCACAAAAACATCTCTCCTTCTGCCTGGAAACATTTGTCCACAAGAAGCCACTAACTGGGTCTGTTTTGTTGACACTTTTTGCTCTGCTTCAGCTGAAATGTTTCCCACTCTTTTTTCTGTCATTTTTGTCTTTTTCTTTCTTATTTTGAAGCTTTACTCAACCTGGTTGTGATCCATCAGTGTGAAACTTGAACACTTTTTCCCCCGGTCTTAAAGTTTTGATCAGGAGTGTATTAGGTGTTTCTCATCTTCTTTTTACTAATCACCGTTGCTCTCCAACGCAGGAAATTACCAAGAGAGTCCACTTTTGTCCACCCCCCCAAAAAGAAATAAATTAAAAAATCCTGCAGCTGTTCAGTCCCTTTACAGTTTTGGATCCCGAGTGAATGATGTCATACAGTGGTAGTAGCATGGGGCGCAATCTATAGGCGGATGGAAAATTAAAGAAGGGGGTCGATAGCGACACCCATGGTTTTAATTTTCAGAGAATGACATGGTGGAAAGCGTTTGTCCACTAGCACATGAAGCGGAGTGATTAAATTCTCTTCCAGAACATCTGCATGAAGATAACTCTCTGTTCAACATGAATAGACCTGCAGCAGAACCAATATTCACCTAGCATGGTTTTTGTAGAAAGGACTGGACAGAGACCTGGTCTAAATATGGTTGAGTCTGTACTTGGTGCAGGAAAATATGAATTAGTTAAAGCTGTCAGCTCAAATACACGCATGCATCCTTGATTGTCGACAGAGATGCACAGCTGGAACTTCGTGGACATCTGGATTATCAGTGAAGTTTAGAGTGACCAGTGGTTATAGATGTTTCTCTGTCTGACCCCAGACTTTCCCTTGGATGAATGTTAAGGCTGACCTGCAGCTGAACTGTTCATCTTCTGATTGGATAAACAATGGCCAGAGCAGGCTGTAGATGTGTGGATCTCCTTTGTTATGAGTTCAGGGAAGGTTTCAGGATGAAACAAACAAAAAAAGAAAAGAAAAAAGACTTGCAATAAGGAGGGTGGGATCTCTTCCACAGCTCCTGTTTTATAGGATTGACCCAGTACACCGATACCTCATGAGCCTACACGTCTCTGCATGGAAAATACCCAACACACACCTTGGAAATATTACAATCATTCTTCATCTGATCCCCTCCTATGTGCCTCTGATGTGCATTGTGACCTTTTTAATGATCAGACCTGATTCCCCTTTGGCCCTTGCCTTGTTAGATCTGCCTTGGCAGCGCTCGACTCTCTCCCCTGGCAGCTCCAGGAACAATAGACCCATGAGAGGCAGCCAATGGGGAGAAGGTCCATCGTAAACTAAGTCCCTGTGTGCTGCACAATCAGGCGTAGGGACAGAAAAATTGCTTAATTGGATGATAATAGGTCTTTATTTATGCTTCTCTTTCTGTGCCCATCCTTGCCCCCTGTACTGCCTCATCTAGCTTGGAGCAGAGCTGAACAGCCATGATAAAGAGATCCTCATTTGGGCTCAGCCATACAATTATAAGGACTGGGTCAGTAGAGAACCTCATGGTATGATAACCGCTAGTAAAAATTCAATGGTGATTAGGCCAATAAAAATGTATAACATGATGTCTGGGCAAAGAGTACTTTTACTTTTTGGTGTTTTGCTTTTAGTAGCGTAGCAAAAAATTGTGTGTTTGATTTGCTTTGTGAGTCAAAGTATTAATCCGGGAAGGACATCACAGAGCTGAGCTCCTTCTTTAAAATGGAAAGACAAATTAGGTTTGTTAACTGTAGCTAATAATATAATTTATGGGAAAAAAAACATAAATAAATAAAGTATCCATTCTATATTTTAGCAAGTATCAAGGTTACTTTTCTTAAATGCAGCCCCCCTATGTATTTCCAAAAGCAGCCTAGATTTCAGCTGGTAGTGGCGGCATCATGCTGTGGGGGATGCGTGTTTTTTTGCATTCTGGGTTAAAGAAATTACCCAGAGTTATAGAAGGTTGACTGAAGCTGAATACAGGACAATCTTGTCAGAAAACCCACTACAGGCTCCAAATGACTTGAAACAAAGTTTGAGAATTGAGAAGAAATATGGAAAATAAAGCTGCATGTCAGACAACATCCCTGCACTGTAACACTTTGTTTACCAACATATCACAAGCTTAAATCACAGCCAGGAATCTGCAGACATTGAGCTCTTTATCAGATCTTGTAGCAGGCATCAGAGAGCTCAGCAGAAACCTGTATCTCGCCCAACATCTGGCCTGGCTGCAAGTGATGAGCTCCACCATGGGCTATGGAGGGCGGGATTTGTGATTGTGCTCTTAAAACGTCTCCCATGGGTGCCGGTGGAAGGCAAGGATGTTTACATCTGGAAAAAGGTTGGTCCAGTGTTGAAAAGGGCAGTGACACATATCCCTGACTGAGACGCAACCACCGGCCTTGGAAGTGACAGTGCGAAGCACTCTCGGCGGAAGAAGGACTTCGTGCTGGAAAATAGGTCACTGCCCTGTTTAAACCAGTGCTTTTTTCTAAGCCTGGACAGTGAACGCAACATGCACAAGTGACACGCAGGAAAGCGTCGCTCCCGACTTACCTTTGCAGCGAAAATGCCGTGGATGTGGCCGATCCACGTCCGATCCACGTCTTCCCTCCGGAGCAAGAACTTCCCGAAGTCCTTACAGGATCAAACTCCTCCTCACTTCTGCCGTTTTTTCCCCCCGGTGGGATCGAAATATCCAGCTGACAGATCTTTAGAGACTATTACTAAGTGTTTAATGAAGCGGTCTGTTCTAAGACCATTGTCGGAGTTGTTTTCAAGCTTGAGAAGAAAAAAAATCACATAAGAGCTCACCCCGGCGTATGTGACAGCCGGTTGTTCAGATTCCAGCCAATCTCTGGAATGACAGGCTGATGTTTTGCATGTTATATTACAGCTGGAAACGCGTCAGAAAAGTGTAAACACCCGAATCCATAGCCTGGAAATGAAGAGCACCGGTTGTGCTACGCATCGAAAAGCGCAGAGAGGATTTCTTCCCAGATTCAAAGCGCATCGCTCAATGGCAACGCTGGTCTAACGGGGGGTTTCCTTTGGGGTGGTCGGACCAGAGGGATGGCACGAAGTGGTCGAGAGGAAAACGCCGGGGCGGGTTGGCGACGGGGTGTGGGGCTGGATGTGGGAGGACCGTCTCCCTTCTCTCGTCGGTGCTTTTCCAGATGCCAACGTTAGCCCGGTTGGTTTTCTTTCTTTTTCCCCCCTCTTTTTTCTTTCTTTCTTTTTTTTTTTAGCGCTCCGCGTCTCCTCTGCGTGTTTTCCTTCGGAGACGCTGCGTGTTGATGGTAGTTCTCCCCCACCGTCGTCTGACGCACACAGACATCCGCCCGGAGCCCAGCAGCCAGCCAGCCCGTCAGGACCAGCCCAGAGCCTGCCACCTCAGCGCATGCTTACTGCTCCGCCCATCCATCATGGGCAGTCCCCGGCTTTCCTCCAAGCCTCCCTCCCGGCCCCCCTCTCCCAAAACGTCGGTCTGTCTGTCTGTCTGTGCGCACGGCCAGCCATATCGCCAAAGAGCAAACGCCGCATTTTTCAATGTTAGTCAGTGTGTCCACACTGAGCCTGCTCACATCCTCTGCATTACCTGTGCAATGCAAATCTGCATTAGGCTACATGAGACAAAAAAAAAAAAGTTCAGAGAAGTAACAGTTACCACATTGCTTGATTGGAAAAGGAGTTCTGCATTAAGTAAAAACATAAGAAATGGATAATTATGTAATTAGAAATGTATCAGTTCTTATAAGGCAGACCGGAAAGGCTAAAGTTAAATTGGATTGGATGGAAAGAGTCTGGAAACATCAGTTTTTAACATCCTTCAGTATTTTCCAATTAAATTCGGGTCTGGACTATGAGTGGGTCATTCTAACGCAATATGAATATGTTTTGCTCTAAAATCATTCCACTGTGGAGCTGGTTGTATGTGAATAGTCACTGGGAAGTGAACCTGCACCACATTCAAGTCCTTTGCAGTCTTCACTGCAAGGTTCTCCAAGGATTTTCTATGTAGCTCAAATCTTTCAACTGTTTTTTTTATTTTATTTTATTATTCAATTATGCAACAATAGAAATAACAACAAAATGGGGGTTTAGGAGGGACATCTAAAATGTGATAAAGTGACAGTCTTTTAAAAAGATATTTTTTAAACTAAATGAACTAATAATCAAGAAACAAATAGTGAAACAGATCTTCTGCAGATGCATTGAAGACATAATATCCCTGATCCAGTGGAAATGAGAAAGAGGGACCGAATCTCGCCACTTAATTAAGATTGCTCAATGGACCAGTACAGTGGGTGAAAGTTAACAAGTCCAACTTTCAAGTAGGATAATTTGAGTCTCTGATAGTTTCATGGGATTTGTTTCTATTTTAACGAGGAACAGGACCAGTAGATCCGAAGCAGATGAAGAGTCGTTCTTACATTTATCTCATGCTTTGGCTTCAGAAATGTGCACCTGGCTAAACACCTTTAACTAAACTACAATACTGTTTAAATTAAAGCAAACCCAACCACTGGAGCTCTGTCTGTATGTTTCGGTGATTATCCCGCTGGCAGGTGAACCTATTACCTAATACTGAGTCTTGCAGTCTGTAGCAGGTTTTCTTCCAGCATTTAGCTCTATGATTCTTTCCAACAAGTCTGACCAGCTTGCCAGTGCCAGCTGAAGGAAAAGATCCCCACAGCACCGTGCTCCCACGTGGTTTGTTGTGGTTGTGGTGAGGTCAGTTTTCTGCCACACAGAGATCTTTGCATGTATAAGTCACAGCATTCAATTGTGGTTTCATCTGTCCAGAACAACCGATTCCACATGTTTGCTCCATCCCCAACATGTGGTAAACTTTAAGTGGGATTTCTTATAGGTTCCTTTCAACAATTGAATTCTTCTTGCCGTCCATCCATGAATGCAGAATTGGAGGATTGCATGAATGAATAATAGCTGGCAACGTATTATTCCAACTGGAGCTGTGGAGATTCTCCAAGGACCTCTATGTTGCTTCTTTGATTAATTCAGTCCCTGCTTGGCCTGTCAGTTTAGGAGGGCAGATATATCTTGCTAGGTTTGCCATACCCTTCCTATTTCTTTTTTTACTATTGGTTATATAACCCAACCCTGCGTTGTTATTGATCTGTCTGATATGTTCCTCGGTCTTCATTATACTGTTTGTTCAAAATGATCTTTAACAAACATCTGATGCCTTCGTAGAACCCAATGCGATGATTCTTTTTTTTTTCAGTTTTGCAATTAATTCCAAAATATTTAAGTTTGCAACTTAGACCAAAACTGTGATTGCAGTCATAGAAAAAAATATTTTTCCTTGCAAATTTGAACCTGTCAATGACTTAATCCTATAGACATTTATAAATTTTTTAATTATTTCATAAAATGATTTGAAAATAAATCACTGTCTAGAGTGTATTGCTCCAGCCATTTATCACTGGTTATTTAATTAAAGAGCTACTTCATTTAATTTCCACTTAATCCTGTTGATTTACTACATTTACAACATTAAAAGGGCACAGTTGTATGACGAGGACTTGGAGATTTTGCTCGCTGTGATTTCTTTTTTATGGAGACGTCCACATAAGAGGACACCTTGAATGTGTCCGTAACACATGTAACACCTTTTTTTCCCCACCCCAGGTAACAGGAGACACATATAAAACTGTAAGTATGATATTTCCTCAGTATGATACTGTCAGTCTACAGCTGTTGGACTTTGTATAAGAAATCAATGTCCTAAGCTGCCCGTTTTTGGCCTCCAGCAAGTTCTCACCAGCTGCCACTAGAGGGCGTCGAGAAACCTCAGATAACATTTAATGGCTATTTGTTGGAGCTAATTCTAGTGTTTTCTTTTTAAGGTTTCATCAAAAATGACTTTATTCATTACAAAATAAAACTTGAGTTTTTTTATTTTTTTTAATCTTTTCTAAAGCAGATATTTGACAAACTAGATATGGATAAAAGGTTTATAAATGTTCTGCTTATGTAACTGTCAAGATCACCATGCAGGAACCTTCAGGCCTCACACTTCCGCCCTCTTCACAAAGGAAGATGGTTTATTTTGCTGATAAGTAAAACATGTTAAGAAATCCCAGTTGTCATCTTGAGTTTGACCCTCCTGCTAAATAAATTAAATTTCAGCATTTGGCAGCTACACTTTTTGCGCAACATGTTTTATGACATTTGCAAATTTCTATTGTACTGTAAATAAATAACTGTTATTCTCTGCAATAAAAATGGAATAGGGGTCTTTTACATTATAGTCTCTCGGTGGTTGTCATCTATTATACCATCAAATTGATTCCAAAAGCCAATATTTTGTCTTGTGCCAAATATCATCCACTTTTAGAAGATTTACATTTTTCAATAAAAATCTCACTCCAGAAAAATTTCAAGACAAGAATCGAACTGTGCTGGCCTGCCATACTGTCAACATTCCAGCCACAAAATCACATGTCGTTAAAAAGCCCACAGACAAGCCCTGTGAGTGTAGAGTCCACACCTGCGCTTGACATCATAAATAGTAATAAGTAGAATCGATTTCTATGTCTGTCGAATTTGAGTTTGTATAGATTGGATGGCAATAAGCAGCCTCAATCTATTTCAAGCAAATTATGATAATCCAAAGAATTTGGGAAATTATTTTGGATTTCCTCAAGCTTTAAAACCTGCCGTGTTTGTTATCTCAGTTTTCCGCACTGGCTTTTTGTTGTGTTAAACGAACGATGCGGTGCGGTGCTCTCACGCAAATCCTTGCAGCACTTGAAGTGGCTCGCGCGCGCCTTGCATCTGATGAGCCTGTTAAATCATTGTGATATTTACCCTCCTACCTACAGCCGGTGCGGTGTGTGTCAGACAGCAGCAGCAGCAGCAGTGTGTCCCTGAACGGCCTCCCTTCCTCCCTTCCTCCCTTCTGCTGGGTGCGCTGTTGCTGTGCAGCGCTGCCAGCTGGTCAGCTGATCGCTGTTGTTCTCTTATCGCAGCTGTTGGAGTGTCCGCCCCTGAAGAAGAGGCTTCTCCCGCTCTTTATTTACCTAATCGCCAGGGCGCAGGTGGTATGGAGCACCGTGAGTGCCACCATTCAGCCGTGGGCAAATATTATTTTTCAATTGATTAAAAAAATAAAAAATACAAAAAACACAAACCTGAAAACATTGCTTATTTGTTTGTCAAAATATAACAAAAAGATGTTATTACTATCTCACTACTAATGTTGCACTTCAGCATGGACAGCAAAAGAAAAAAAAGCTAAAATTACTATATTTTTTATAGTTATGTGCAACCCCACACATTAGAATGTCATTAAAAAGTTTTTTTTTCAATAATTCAATTAAAAATGTCATATTTCATGTCCTCAATGTACTACACTGGTCGTTCTTAAGCGTTAATTTAGATGATTAGTGTGGCCTATAGAAAGTAAACACTAATTACTCAGTTTCTTGCAAAATTAGAATATGACATTATCAAAGAGAGTTTTAGAATATAAGTGTTAGCCTACGAAAAAGTAGGTTGACGTATTGTATAGTAGATACACTTGTTTGAGGTCTGGTTTGAGGATCATTTTGTACAAATTACTGCATTAATGAAGGGACAAATCCTACTTAAACATTTTGATTAAAACTTTCCCATTATAAGGAGATATAAAGCTCACTAAAATGAGATACATTCTCATTTAAGCAAGATACAAATATGGTTATAACAAGTTTTATATGTCATTAAAACCATGTCATTTAAGCAAAAAGGTTGTAAATCATCACAAGTTTTGAGTCTGTAATGAAAAATTGTAATTTTAACCGGATGCAAATCTGGTTATTATGAGTTTTACTACAACCAAAATAGTTTCTGGCTTAAGCAAAACATGTCATCACAGTAACTCAGTGCAACAAGTTGCAAGAAAGTTTCATGTTTCAACAGGTTTTAAATCTTGTTTATATCTTGTTATAATATGAAATTTTCTTGTCTTAATGAGATTCTGGCCATATTTATGTCCTCTCAGTGGCAGTTAAATGCTCCCATATGCCCCGAGGCTGCTGTTTATCTTTACCCTTCAGTTAAAATGTTTGGGATTGGTTTAAAACCTTTATTACTATTTCACAAACATCTCACGTCCAAATCAGAATCTTTTTTGTTTCTGTTTTTATTTTTTTTAACCATAAGAAAAGTTAAATGAGCAATTCCTCATTATTAAAAATTAACTATTGCTGTTAAGTACATACACTGTGTACATTTCACTCATTTTTTTTAGCTTATACTTGTATCTACTCAGAAATATTAATGAAAGTAATAGCGGTAAAAAAAAAAATCTGTAAATTTTTACAATGGTTTTATTGATTAAACTCATTGTTGTGTTGTTTGCACGTCAATGTTTTTAGAATCACCGACTGAGTATTTGTCGCAATTTAATCAGCGTATTTAATCATAAATTATACGTCAATATTTTCTGGCATTTTTCATTCTACCAGGATTTTTTATTTTTTTTATTTTTGGCTTCTCTCTGCACTAAATAGTCCTTTGTTTACACGCAGTTCCCCCTTCTCTGCGGAAGGAGGCATTTGGTGGTGCGGTGTGTGACTCCTACCAGCTGTTTCCCGCCTTGAAAGCAATCCGATCAGCTGCACACACACCAACACACACTCGCACGGAGAGAGACACGGTCATGCAGAGGGAGAAAGCAAAGGGGAGGGAGAAGGAGAGGTAGAGCGCCACACACAACGAGGGAACCCCATCAGCTGGAAGTCGAGTAACATTACAACTCTCGGTCGCCTCAAAAAGAACTACAATACACGGACGAGGGATTCGGATTTACTTTGTGGATTTAACGCGCCTCGGATCACGGGATTTTTTGTCATCTGTTTCCCTTTAATCCAGCGGAGATTGCCGTTTTGTTTTCATTTTATTCTATCTTCTTATTTTGGAGAGGGAGGGGGGCCAAACTGGCGAGAGACGAGCATGGAGTATTTCATGGTTTCAGCTCAGAAGGTGCCCCCGCTGCAACATTTCAGGAAAACGGAGAAAGAAGTGATTGGCGGTCTCTGTAGGTGTGTATATAAATCACATGTGCTCCATTCAGCATGATTATAACTGTAGGAACTGTCCACGCACTGAGGCAACATGTTTGATGTGATCTGTTATTGTGTACACGACCCGCTTACGGGGGAACTGCGGGCACTAATTAACACCAAACACCAGCGTTACACTGCGAATGAGCGGCTGGGTGTCTCGTGCTGCCGGTGCAATGTCTCCTGTTCTGTATTTTGCTCATTTAGTATAGAAATTCACGCATTTTGTGTCTAACAAACATAAACCACGTGGTTCCGTGCACACCACGCTGCTACTCCGCTCCAGAGCACATCCCACATCTATTTATCCTCAAATAATCTCTTATATAGGCGCTGTAATTTGCATACGAAAATGAAATATTTTGCTACCGATCACTGCGGTCCTTTAAAAGGCCAGTTTTCGCTCCACATACTACTGGAAGGAGCTGGTTCGCTGAAAGGGAGCCGAAGTTATTGTGGGTAGTGCGGCCATGCTTGTGGCTTGAGCTAAAAGTGATGGGGGGGGTCTGGTGTTAGTCTCGCGTTGTATGTTCTTCTAACCGTTTTCTGTTGATGTAAAATATAACAGCTGTCGTCATATTTGCCTTTATTTTAAGTTCCGTTAAAATAATTGGGGTTTCTGAGCGGCTCGCTGGCTCTATCGAGCCACCTCCACTGCGTCTTTTCATCCCGCACCTCTGCCATGCTGCCTGCCGCATTGTTGTAATGGCGGAGGACATAAAAAAAAAGTCTGCTCCGAGCGCCGAGGTGCTCTCGGGCTCTGTGGTGACGCCTGGCTCTTCTTTTAGCGGTTACAAATATTATTTTTTAATACATTTCAGATAACGGGATATTTGGTGTTCGAGGGGAGGCAGGAATGTTAAAAGTTGAGTTATTAATAAGGGGGTGTGTATGTCACGGAAGGCCCGTCGATACGTCCGCAGCCCTGCTAGTTGAAGGAGGCGGAGGAATCTTGTGCTGCTTTCTGCTGCGACTGCTGCTGGCGCACGGGTATTCTGGGAAATGTAGTCTTATTGCTGTTTGTCCCAAATCATCAGTCAGCTGCTGTTTGGTTAGCAAATATACAATAAATAAGATAGTGTAATAAATGTTGTTATGCTGATATAAAAGTAAAGTGTCATAAGCCTATTTAAGTTTATTATTGAGATTTTCAGTTATGTGGTCTATTTTTCAATGTCAGAATTGGAGCTTTTTTTTTTTGTCTTAGCATTTTGTTGTGAATTTTCAATTGTTTATCACTGTTGTAAGAATACAAAATATCATCCGAAACCTTTCAGTTTTTCCCAAGACAATTGGGGAGAAAATGTACATTTATGAATTTACGGGAATCCATTGAGACTTTGAAAATGGTATCTGAACATCAGTTTCTCTAAAGCACCATGTGATGACTAGCTGATAAAGAGTTATTGTTTGAATATCTTTAAATCATAATATAATTAAATAAAAACGAGTTTGTTGTTTATTTGTGCTCGTCCTTTTCTGCATTGGTTTCCAGCGATGCATCAATCAATCACCCAGATCTGAATCAGCTAGTTTCCCCTTGATTGATTCTGATTATTGATGCATAGGACAAACAAGGAAAATATATTTTTATATTTTTGTCCTATTCCTATCAACTCATATTTGTTTTGGGCATCAATGTACAGAATGTACGTTATGCACAGTGGGGTTTTTTTTGTTTTTGTTTTTTTAAGTTTAAAAAATATGGTAAAGGCTAAGGAGATACTACTTCATCCATGATTGCAGGGTTTTTTTATTTTATTTTGTATGTAAAATTGATATTTATCAGAAAAGGCTTTATTCATGCAGTATTGGATGTGCAATGCAAGATAGACTGACTGTGCCACCAGGTTAAGATGACCCTGGCTCTGCAAATGAAAGAATGACTGAACAGTAAAATGAATGGGAGTCATAGAATATTATGTCTCTGGACTGGTGAAAGATTTTCAATTTCTAAATCTGCCGCTCATCTGTTTACAGTCTATTATTTATTACATTAACAAATCAGTCATTACGGCCTTATTTGCTTACTTTGTCTTGCTCCCCTTTTAAAAAAACACTTTAATACAGCTTGGTGGTAATCTACTGTTAGGGAAGGCAAAGCCCAGTTGGATTGGCAGTGCTGCAGTGATGCTTTGTGTCTGTGTGTATCTCCACACTTAACACTCAGAACGCGCATGCACATTTTTTTTTCTCATCTGTGTCTGCACAACAGTTCCCAGTGTTTGCACTGAGGCAGCTGAGTCAGTACAGATAAGAGCCTGGCAGGAGATACAGAGGTGGAAGCAGAGGATGTTGCAGGAAGCGCTCTTAGAATTTCCCCTAAATTAAATCCCAGTACCTGGCTGGGATGAAGGCTCATTTTGACTGTTTTAAAGTATAAACATATTAAAATTGTAGTGGTTAGAGGCAAACACTGCTTGTGTGCTGCTTGTAGAACCAAATATCAGTTTACTTTTTTGTTTAAGTAATTAATTAAATGGAAATATTTTTTTACACTCGTCATGCCATTGGCAGGAAAAATCAGGTAACAAAATGATTAAAACTGCAACTAATAAGTGCTTCATAATAAATGTGTAGTTGCCGTATGCATCAAATGTTTCTGCTGAAGTTAAGCGGATCCTGACTCCCATCTGAAGGCTTCCTCTGTGCTCAAAATTTATTATCAACTAACGGATTTGCTTCCCTCCCTGCTTTGTTTCCCCCTCAGTCTGGCCAACATTCCTCTGACCCCAGAAACAGCCCGGGACCAAGAGAGGCGAATTCGCAGGGAGATTGCCAACAGCAACGAGCGTCGGCGTATGCAGAGCATCAATGCTGGATTCCAGTCACTTAAAACACTCATCCCACACAGCGATGGGGAGAAGCTCAGCAAGGTAGGTCACAAACTGCGGGCTTGATTTAGATCAGGTGATGAGCTTGATCCAGCGTGCTTTGAAAAAGTATTTATCCTGCTTCAACTTTTTCACATTTTAGATTTTAAGTGCTCGACCAACACATGAAGGTCTTAATTCTAAAATAGAAAGAAAATGATTCTTGGTTCTAGAACTATTTTTTTTTTTAACAAAAATCTCTCTTGTGCTTTTTTATTTAGTTCCCTTTACTCTGTCACCACTAAATACAATCTAGTGGAGTAAATTCAGCTTCTGACTTTACATACAAGACACTAGCGAAAAACATTATGTCTTTACATAAAAGACACTAGCGATTCAGGCTAAAGATCAGCCTGAATCAACATGGTGTTGGGAGTATTGTGTTGTGGGAATCTTTTTCTTGACCAACAACAAGTGGAACTTGAGACTAAGGAAATGTTTGCCTTCCAACAGGACAAGCCCACAACTGGAGATATGATGTAATGGCTAAGATTTAAGTCTTAGCCACAAATCTGATTTGCGGCAAAACTTGAAAATGGCAACGTGAAAAAGGAACATTAATACTTTTGAAGTCGCTGTTGCTGTACGGGTTTGAACTCGCTGTTACAGCTTCACTTTGATGTTCTTCAGGCTGCAATCTTGCAACAGACGGCAGAGTACATCTTCACTTTGGAGCAGGAGAAGACGCGGCTATTGCAGCAAAACAGTCAGCTGAAGCGGATCATTCAGGTACAGGTACAGCAAGTTGCATAAATACTTCCATATGTTTCTTTGCTTTTAGCACTCATCTGAACCAGATAGCTCAATCTTTGTTTGTTTTTTTCCCCAGGAGTTAAGTGGTTCGTCACCGAAGAGGAGACGGGCGGAGGAGAAAGATGAAGGGATCGGCTCTCCAGACATCCTGGAGGAGGAGAAGACTGAAGATCTGAGGAGAGAGATGATTGAGCTGAGGCAGCAGCTGGAAAAAGAGCGCACAGTCAGGATGATGCTGGAGGATCAGGTGACAGTCGGGTGGGAATGAACACGCAGCTGTTTTAAGTGCGTGACTGATGCACCTTTCTCCCCATGCGTCCCTCCTGGCAGATGCGCTCCCTGGACGCTCAGCTGTACCCAGAGAAGCTGAAGGCGATCGCCCAGCAGGTCCAGGAACAACAAGTCCAGACGCAGAGTCTTGTTCGTCTGCAGAAGCAGCTAGAGAGGGACCTCACTCCAGCACACAGCCCTCAGGTTCAACACCAACGTTTTATAAAGAATTCAGCTTTTGTTTAATGACTAAATTTAGCTTTGATAAAGGTGCTTTACTTTATCAACACAAAATATTTGAAATTGAGTTTGTCTTCAATATATGTCGGCATCTTTGTTGTGATAAAAGACTCAGAATAATTTTGACTGTCACATGCAGAGCTTTGGAAAATACATTTTCAGCCCTTAAAAAACTTTCTCACATGTCATGTAAACAATCATAAAGTTTCGTAGATTTTTTGGAAATTCGATATAGGGGTGGGCAATGTGGACTTAGAATATATACACAATATTTTGTGGTGCAATTGTGATGACGATAAAAATTATAATTTAAAGAACTTTTTACATTACTGTGAATGCTTGGCATTAGCATTCATAACATCACACACAAATGCTGTGTGGAAATAGTCTTCTTCAGAGTGCAAGTTACTGAAACAAGTGTGATTTATATCACTAAGATGTACACAGTAACTGTGTTTAGTCATGTTTTCCATTTCACTGATATTTATTGATGTTAAATGAATTTTAACATAAATTTATTTAACTAAAGTAGCAAAAATGACATGTCCGTTAATATTGTCGCAGTTTTGTTTTGTTATTTTACATCATTAATTGGAATTGATCAACACATCAATAAATCAAAATGCCTGTCAATAAAACAGTTTCACAATAAATTGTACAATAAATGCCAACTCCTGATTTGATGTCATAGACAAGTACAAAGGAGTGCGTGCATTAATAGTGTGAAGTGCATTTTTAATATAATAATAATAATAAATTTTATTTGTAACGCACCTTATATTTCAAAGAAATCTCAAAGTACTACAGAGACAAGAATAAATTGTAGAGCTTACAATGAAACATACAATAATACATCTCACATCAAGTGGTTAAAAAAAATAAGTAAAAGTATTTATTTATCTCCTTATGGGGCCATCATTTGATGTAATTGCAGTTCCAAATCATTGCGGGTTTGACTGGTTCAGTATTTCATATCCAGTGACAAAGATTTTTGCGCTTTCAACTTGTCACATTGAATAGATTACGTTTTCAAGTCTTACCTACCAATATCGACGATTATCAACATGAATTGATATGAAGCACTTTTATTGTGATAAATGTTTCAGCCATATCATCCAGCCCTAGCCTTGGCCATATGAGCGTATAGATGTGTATTCATCTACATTAATTCATTGTTGCTCTGGCTGTATGTGTAGAGTCATTGTCCTGCTGGAAGGTGTCTCTGGTCTCTCCTCCATAATCTTCCTGACCTATAAGTTGTGTTTCCTGTTCTTTATTATCTCATTTGTTCTCTAACAAACCACTGAGGGATTCACTTGAACAGCTGTATTTACACTGGGATTCAATTACACAACTTTTACTTGCTGGGTGACTTTTGAAGGCAGTTGATTGCCTGGATCTTTTTTCGGGGCAGCAGTGACAGGGGGGAATAAACACAAAAATGCATCTCATAGTTTGTAGATTTCTATCGCCTGTGTGTCAGAAACAGTGTTTGATTCACTTGTTTGTTTGGCACCTCAGGAATACTTTTTGTAGATTATGTTGTTTGGGATCGTTAGACTGATGTGTAAAAATCTTTCTTTCAGGTGTTTGCTCCTGCTACCCCGCCCGCACCCACACACCATGCCACAGTCATCGTTCCTGCGCCCGCACCAACTCCCCAGCCCCATCACGTCACCGTGGTAACCATGGGCCCGACATCGGTCATTAATTCCGTGTCCACATCTCGGCAGAACCTGGACACCATCGTTCAAGTAACGTCACTCAAAATTCAAATTATCTTTCCTTCACATGACTCCTGCTGTTTGTTTTTTCTTTTCTCCGCCACATTTGACCACTAGAGGGCGCCTTAGTCTCTGACATGCCTCCTCTGTTATTCCCTGTTTGCCTCCAGGCAATCCAGCACATTGAGGGCACCCAGGGGAAGGTTTTTGAGGAGGAGCAGAGGAGGGCGGTCATCGTCAGCTCGGGGCGCATCCTCTCCGACGCTGCTGGCTCGGACACGGCCTCAAACAGCGACGGACCCGACGACTGCTCGCTGCCTTGAGCTCGCCTGCCTGAAGGCTCGTGTACCCGACACCTTCATACACGCACACACTCACACACAAGGGCCCCGAAGCAGACCAGGGTTATGGGAGACTACAAACTCACAGCACTCTTGTTCTGTGTACGTAAACCGAGCTGGTAGCACCCATTTTGACGTACTTTTCCCCCCCATCTTCTTCTCTACATCAGATTTTTACAAAAATAGGCACCTGAGAAGGTTTACAATTACACATTCACACCCGTAGTTTCGTTCTTTTTCTGTTTTTTTTTTTTGGCTTAACTCAAACCTCTGCTCTTTTTACAACAAACTCTTGTCTCTTCATGACTCCATGGGACTGTTATTAAAGCTACTAATTGATTTTATGAACTCTGGGTCAAACTGGAAACTGGACTTTCAAACGCCTGTTAGACATGTCCATCAGCCGCCAGGACTGTCCTCCCAGCGCTGTCCTGAAGTCGTGTGACTGATCAAAGAAACGGGAAAGAGGCCCACGGGTGTGACGTCGGCGGCCGCCAACTGAGCGTGATTATTATGAAGATGGACGCCCTTTCAAACAGCTCCGCTCGAGAACCATCCGGGCTGTTGGCAAACACACTGTGAGTTTGCAAGACTGTCCTAAAAGTTCTTTGTTATTTTATTAAGTCAAATTATTCATGTTTCTCTCTTAAATGCTCCACTTGTAAGTAAAAGAAAAAAAAAAAGAACTAAAGGCTGTTTATATGGCTGACTGGTGCTCATACAATAAGAGAGTACACTTACTGGTTCACAACTTTAGTTTTGTTGATTCTTTTTTTTTTTTATGTTTGTTTTTGCTGGGCTGGGATCCCAGTAATCCCACATCTTGCCTGTTTTTTGTTTTACTGTTTGCATCCTCTACTTCTGAGTATAAGAGCCCCTGGCCTGACGTATAAGCTAATCTGTTGGGCCATGATGAGTACTTTTGAGGAGTGTGTGTGTCTGAGTGTTTTAAGGCAGCGGGACTTCGTGGTGCCCGAGACTCTGGCAGTCTGAAACTCCACCACCTTAGCCTTGAAATGCACGACTCATTTATACAAAAAGGACGCATACAATCACTTATTCGCTCGGCCTAGAGAGCCTGTTTTGTTGTTTGTTCCGCCTTTTGGGACGTAGGAGGATTATGGTGACATTTGAGGAAGAATGCCCTGAGAACTAGTTAGTGTGCCATTCATGGTGACGACTGAATTTACTACAAATGCTCTATGCATTTGTCTTTTTCGTAAGTTTTCTGTTTAATTTTTAATGTAATGACTGGCAACTTATAGAAAAGAGAGGTTACAGCTTGCCTTACTATGAGTCCTTTTTATTGGCTGCAGGAAGGCCATTCCTTCACACAGCTTCAGAGAACAATCTGGACGCCTTTCATTTGGGGGCAACTGATTTTCACCTCTTTGATCAGGCTTGTAAACACCGGGCAGATGTCATTCAATATATAAATATATATTCCCAGTTATATTGTTATTTTTGGGTTTCTTTTATTATGTTTGCCCCAGAAATTAAACATATTGGTAGTTTACAAACTATGCTAAAGGTAAATTAATGCAAAAATTGTTTGGTTTATACAGTGCCTTGCAAAAGTATTCAAAACCTTTTAACTTTTCTCGATTGTTTCACATAGTATCATTCTTTTGATTTTTATGAGAAAAGTCAACACAAGGTCGTGCATAATGAACTGGAAGAAAACATATATACTAAAGCATATATATGCTTCTTTCATATGTTTTGCTCTATTTATTAAAAAAAAAAACATTCCCACAACATAATCCTGCTGCTGCCATGCTTCAGAGCGATGATAGTTTGTTGGCTGGGATGTGAAAGTGTGAGCTTGCCACAGATTTTGACTAGGCTGATCTAACACGCATGTGTTTTGATATAAACCATTTAATTGGAGTTATTTTTTCCTCTAGACATGATTTGGCTAATTCTGTCTCCCATCAGTTCTGACAAGAACTACCACATGATGCTGCCACTACCTTGTTTAAACCAGGGAAACTTTGTGTTGGGGGTCGCATATAGTGTGTGTTTTCTGCCACTTATTGATTTGCATGAAGGCCAGTTCTCATCTCATTTGACTCAAGCACCTTCTTCTACATTCATGACTTGTTTTTATGCAATTGCTGACTTCTTGTGGTTTCTTTTTTATTTTTTTTATTTTTGGAAGTCCAAATTTGCACACAAGTGGTTTACAAAGCACTTGCAAAGTAAAAAACAAAACAAAACATGTTTTTCCTTTCTCAACAGTTGTGTGCTTCTTTATGTTGAAATTTATGATCACATAGTCCTAACTAAATGACTGTGGTGTGAAACAGTTCAAGGGTTGTAAACACTTTTGCAAAGCACTGTATGTCTATATTTGAAAGTTTGAGAGCCCTTGTTGCAAAATATGTGGGGGGGGCGGGGGGGGAAAACCTCCAAAATAAAGACATTCCATAAGACCGTATCAAAGGTTTCCTGAGATCCTGCAGAAAAAATCAAATCACAGTTAGGACTTTCGGCTCATCTCAGCATTTAGAGTCGACTGTTTGAGCTTTGAACTGCTGGACAGACTGCACGTTAAACCCCAACGTCACGATTGACGAGATTTGGGAATTCCCCTTTAAACCTGTTGATGTCAGGTGTGTCGGTTATTGTTATAGGAAGAAGGGGAGGGTCGCTGGAAAACTTAGGATTTTTATTAGGCCCGAGCAGCTAAGCGCTGCGAAGGCCTATTGTTTTCCTACTGTTTATTATTATTATTATTTTTTCTTCCCACCTCTTTGGGGGGCTTTTTGGGGGCCTTATCATATTGGAAAACTCACCAAACTTGGCGGAGGCCTTAAGCCTGTTTAAAAATTTTTATTTTTAAGGTCATCACAAAAATCCCACAAGAAATGGCTCAATAGCGCCACCTAGAAATTTTCTAAGGACCCTTTGCTATTCACTTACTTTATCCTAGAGACATGAAATTTGGTACACTTGTAGAGCTCCCCAGGACGCTCAAAATTTACAATTAATGTCATAGTGCAAGTATCACAGGAAGACAGCCATTTTGGATTGAAGGTCCAATTTGAGGCCATTTTTGCCGTTTACAGCCTTCGTATTTGATCGAACTCCTCCTAGGGATTTCGATTGATCGGCTTCAAACTCGGTCAGTCTGTTCATAAGGCATGTCCCATCTAAAGTTATCAAAACGGTGAGTTTTTGAGTATGCTGAAGGGGGTTAGCAGGGTCAAAGTTCACCTACTCGCCGTAAAAAATAAACTGCTATATCTCCTACACAGAAACTCACAGAGGCACCAAAGTTTCTATGATTGATCATCATCGGGTGTCCTACAATACCCTATGGTCGAATGATGACATCACTTTGGCCACGCCCCCTGAGAACAGGAAGTGTAATGTTTTACTGTGAACTTTCACTATCTGACCCCTTTGACCTCATCAACATGAAACTGTGCCCAGACACAGAAGACATGTTGGTGTGTTGAGGATTCCAACCCCGACCAGCTTCGATGGAGCAGGTGGGCGTGGCGGCGTGGCGAAGTGACCTGTAACGCCATCGCCATACGTTTTGCTCTCAATTCCACAGTTTCTGTTCCAGCTGCTCCAACCTCACAAGGATGGATCTTCATCCACTCCCCGACAGGAATCCATCACAATATTTGGTGGCGTGGCCTAATTTCTCTATAGCGCCCCCTAGAAAACTTTAAATGATCAGCCCCAAGCCATGCTTTAACCTACAATTACGAAACGTTGTACACATGTGTACCTTGTCAGGACTTACAAAAAAGTCTCTTGGAGCCATGGTCTAAACCCCACAGGAAGTCGGCCATTTTAGATTGAAGTTCAGATTTTGACCCCATTTTTGCCGTTTACAGCCTCCGTATTTGATCGAACTCCTCCTAGGGATTTCGATTGATCGGCTTCAAACTCGGTCAGTCTGCTCATAAGGCATGTCCCATCTAAAGTTATCAAAACGGTGAGTTTTTGAGAATGCTGAAGGGGGGTTAGCAGGGGTCAAAGTTCACCTACTCGCCGTAAAAAAATAAACTGCTATATCTCCTACACAGAAACTCACAGAGGCACCAGACTTTCTGTGATTGATCATCATCGGGTGTCCTACAATACCCTATGGTCGAATGATGACATCACTTAGGCCACGCCCCCTGAGAAAAGGAAGTGTCATGTTTTACTCTGAACGGTCGCTATCTCACCCCTTTGACCTCATCAACATGAAACTGTGCCCAGACACAGAAGACATGTTGGTGTGTTGAGGATTTCAACCCCGACCAGCTACGATGGAGCAGGTGGGCGTGGCGGCGTGGCGAAGTGACCTGTAACGCCATCGCCATACGTTTGGCTCTCAATTCCACATTTCTGGGCCCACCTGCTCCAAACTCACAAGGATGGATTCCCATCAACTCCCCGACAGGAATCCATCACAATATTTGTAGGGCGTGGCCTAATTTCTCTATAGCGCCCCCTAGAAAACAGCAGCCCATAGGTTATGTTGTTATTAATTATTTAAATATACATTATTATAACTTTTTATATATATATAAGTTTATTTTGTGGGTTAAAGTACAAACATTCATTCATTTTTGCTAGAATAATACAAACAAAGTCATTCAGCAAAACTTATGACAGCGAAGTAAGAACACACTGGGGTCAGTGTTGATGGAGTACTACTGGCACCTTGTGGAGAAATACTGGTACTGCTAGTGCAATACCAGTATTGCCCCAGCAGGAGGCAGTGGTACTCCATCAATGAGAAAACAGATCGACGCTACGTAATAACAGTCAGCCGGCGACAGCTGGAGCTGCGAAGTTTTCCTGAACATTTTGCCTGCTTTTTGGAGCCACAGAACTGGACTACGCTCAACATTTTGCTTGGATTTTGGAGTTGCAAATCCAAACCACGCTTTTGAGCAAGAAGGCTCTGTTGGACCGGAGTTGGAGAAGTTTAAACTGAGCAACAGCTTCCGCGGTGCGGGCGGAGGCGCTGAAAACTGCGTGAGAGCATCTGTGGTGGCTGGCGTGAGGCGGCGGTTGCTCATACCCCGCGGTGGCAATAGGCCGGAGCGGCGCTTGGCTGCGAGGGCCGTTCGAGGCTGCTTGCAGCTTTAATTTTTTTTTTATTCTCCCAGTGTCTGCTTTGGAAAGTTTTCCTGCTGAATCCCAGAACTGGTTGCTCTCCATTGCGTCTGTCTTTATTCTGTGTTTTGTGTTACAAAGTTATTATATGGGCATATCAGACTGTCAGATTAGTGGGGGAGGGACTAAGGATCACTAAATAGGGTGAAGATTACGAAGCACTTACTGTAATATACTGGAGTTTGCCTCTTTTGTATGTGTAAAGGAGGATCTCCTCAGCTGAAGCTCTTGAGGTTATGAGTTAAAAAACCGCACAGCTGTGTATCCCCCAACCCTCCATGTCAGTCCTCCTACATTTACCACTTTACCTTTCACATCTTCTTGCATCTTTTATCCTGTCATTTTATGTATTTTATCTTCTTTTATTTTGCAGCTCAGTTTCTTCCCTATTGTTTTAATTTTTTCATTTTTTTTTTTTTTTTTTACTTTGTCAGTGCATATGGTCATCAAGAAGCTATTACGTTTTTTTTTATGTTTCGGGGATAAAGAGGCTTGTGCCTTTGTAAAGACAAAATAATAAAGTTTGTACTTTGTTTTTTAAACATTTGGCTCATGTGTGTTTTCTTTTGTTACTACAGCACCAGCAATGACATGAACAGCTCTGTTTGTCTCGCTGCCAGTTCTCGTTGGCATCGTTCGGGCCGTAAAGCCCAAGTGTTTGCAGCCGATTGGTAGATGGGCTGCGGACGAACCCCCTCCAGCGCCTCCTTCTCTTTACAGCAGCTAAATTAAGAGTGACCACTTTCTCTGTGACGGCGACCATGCACGGCACGGTCAGTGGGTGGCATCTTTTGTCATTTCCTGACATGCAATGAGCTCCTTCTTCCCCAAAGATGTCGCAAGTTATTATTCTAAATGATTATTTTAACTTATCTTCATGCAAACGGTCTCTGAAAGAGTTGAAGTCTTTATAGCAAATGAAGCATTTGACTTGTCAAAAATGCTTTGACAAATATCTCAAAATATATTTGTTATATTTTGATATGCTTTTCTGTGTGATTTCAGCATTATTGCTTAAAAGTGTAAACTAAAATGAGATGGAAGAAAGAAAAATATTTTCTTTCAGAAAGTGAAACTCATGTAAATTAATGATACACAGAGGCATATTTTAAGCATTATTGTCTGATCACTGTGATGATCAGCTATTAGAAACCTGGAAGATCTTTTTTTTTGTTTGACTTGTTTTTCCTTCCACTCAACTTTCCATTAACTATTAAGTGACTGGTAATGAGTGACCTTTTGGAACCTGCCCTTGTTGTGAATGTTGCCCTCCCATAATCTCATGGGTCATAAAATTACATTTCTATACTTAAAAATAAAATGAAAAGTGTGAGAATAAATCAGCTTTTTATTGCTCTTTTTTAATTTAGTTATGTGTATAAAAAACTGTTTTGGTTTTTGCTTAGGTGTAAACTATAATTGTCTAAAACACATTTGAGAGCTCTGTAGTGACTCTACACTTTCTGAAAAAAAATAATTGAAGTAAATAATACAATCTAATTTCAAGAGTTTAAACCGCATTTAATTATTTTTACATTTAATTATTTGTACACATCAATAACTGGTTGACTGTTCTGTCTGGATGTCTGAAAATAGGGGCCTTATTACTCAGTAGGAACCACACATTTGGAAGGATCAACTCCTTGTGTCTGATGTCTCTTAACTTCTTGACAGTGGCTTATGGGCTACTATTAAGTTAAAGTCTGCATAATTAATGCTAGTGTTTGTCATGTGTATTTAAGTGAAAAGCTCATGTTGTCTAGAATCCATAAAAAGCCATCTTGCCTTTAGGAACCCTCCTCCAGACATGAGAAAGTTCAAAATGATCATGCTGTGCTGCTTGGACGCGAGTCATTTGGGATGGACGTGGTCAAAGAGAGAAACTTCCTGCCATATTTGAGGATTAATTTACAGTTAAGATGTTGATTCCCGAGGAATGGTGAGATTATGTTCGCCACTTTGTGTCTGTGTGAGGATGATAAAACGGTAATCCGCCCAGCGCCGGGCTGTGTGAGGGAGTCGCGGCTGACTCAGGCGGACTGTTCTCAGCTTTCACTCTGCTGATGGTGATTACTTCCACTAAGATGCCAGCAGAGTAAGTGTAGCGTGGATGTTTTAGAATCTACATTAACACAGCCTGGAGCCCCATCTGTGATATTTAAGTTTGTGGATGATGGTGTTAAAGCCATTTTAGTCACTTGATTAAGGAAAGTGTATGTATCCTGTTTTAATCAGCTTCTAAGTGCATTTAAAATGATATACAATGTCTGTTCTGCGAGGGAGTCCTGGTCAACTGGGCATTGCATGCAGCAAAGGTCCTGTTGACCAACCAGCAGTCAGACCTGCAGTCGAACAGCTGTGCTGATTTTTGTGTATGGCTATCTGACATGTAGGGTGTCAATATATTTTCAAGAGTTAAATAATATTTTTTTTGTAAAAGCAAAGGTCCTGGATTACCAGTTAGAAGTTCAGAGTAACTGATTTATTTGAAAAGCGGAATATAAACTAATGTATAAACTCCTTAATTTATTTCTGGATCATTTAATTTGGATTTTATTTTTCCACTTAAGAAATACTTAAAATTTATTTCAACATGAAAATATACTTGTGCAATAAAATATCTATTTATTTTGAAGTTTTTTGACATTACTTTACCAAATATGAAGATGCATGTGAGGGAAAAAAACCTGTTGTGACTCTGGCTAAGCCTAAGTGTTGCATGAAAGTGAAAACACAAAGCCAGTTTCTTGTACATAAAGAGTCTCCATGGTGCTTCTGAAACACATGGGTTTCAGCCCCTTCACCAGTCATGCTAGGAGTGGTGCATTCTCTTTGCTCCACCTCTTCTTTCTGCGTGCACTTTAACCTTCCTGCCTTGGTATATATAGTCTGTGAGGCTATCAGAGTTCTCCTGGCAGCCATCATGAAGGGTACTGTCTCGATTTGCTGTCTCCTCACCCTGCTGCTTTTGCAGGCCACAGCAGGTAAGAATCGGACGCTTTCGTAGATAAAAGTTTTGAATCTGATGGTGCATTTATGGTACGTCATAAAATTATTCCCTACTGCCTTTTGGTGGATGAATTTGATGAACATCTCTAAGTTTAGCGGCTGTTGTAATTACAGTTTACTGAAGGTAAAATGAGAAGCTGAACTGAATCTGAGATAGAATGAAAACCACAGGAATGCTGCCCTAGTTGGGTCACGTTAATTCGCCTCTAAGTTATAGTTTAATTAATTGTCTAAAGTGAAAGTCTGATTTACGTTTTTGAAGGAGGGACAATGAGAAGTATTCAGACTCTGCTGTGGCATGACTGCATGTCAGCTGTCCAAAGGCATGGCACCAGCTGATGGAAAGTATCAGTCTAACTAAGGAGAGTGGAGTGGCCGTGTGGGGACCTTTAATAGACCCTGAATCATTCTCCTCACTTCATTCCTAAAAATTAGGTTATGCATTGAAGAGTCTGTTTGTCTGGTGCGGCATTTTTTCCATTATGAATATTGTCCTAAGCTAGATAATGTGGAACAAAGTAAAGATCATTTCTTGTTCAGCAGCTCTGATGCCTTGGCTCACTTTCTAAACCTGTGGCCCTGCCTCTCCGTCTCCGCTGGTGGAGTTATTGTTACCCTTGTCTGTCACCCCTGCCCGTCCTTGGGGTGCCGTTTCTCCCTCCACAGTCTGTAACCAGGCTTCTATATTCCAGGCTTGTCAGGTGCCTAAGATTGGAAGACCTCCTGAAACCCAACACTGTCCGCCACAGTTCTTCCCTCCCTCCCCTTTGCATGATGGTCCGCTTTAGATATGCTGTGCAGCTGCTGTCACTCTGCACTGTCACAATCGCAATTTATTCCCAGCAACTGGCCTTTTAGGGACATGCATTCTCCATGCAGGAGGGGTTAAACTGTCTCTACAGACCCCACAGGTGTGTTTTTGGTTCCTCAGAATCTGAATTCACCTCTTTACAATATAAACATTTCAGGGAATCATCAGCCAGGGACTGATTTACCATCTTTTTTTTCTTTTTTTTTTTCTCAGCACACAAACATTTCACAACAAAAATAGCCAATGATGTACTATTTTGAAGAAAAATGTATATCGTATCTGTATATTGTAATCTTCAATGTAAAAACATACCGATGAACACAGATCCTGTTGATGCAGCACAAACACCATCATCTTTTTATTGAAAGCATGTAGAGGTGGGAAGATTTTTTATTTCTTTGCTTTTTGTCTGCTGACACATTGTGAACCAACATCATGATGTTACCTCCACCTTACTTAACAGTGGGCAATATAAATTTAACATTTATATTGTTAAATGGTGACAATATAAAAAAATAATGTGACTCTAAAATATTATTATTATTATTATTATTATTATTATTATTATTATTATTATTATTATTATTATTATTATTATTATTATTATGTAGGCTACCTCAGAGTGGTTTTAAAAATTACCTGGAATTTGGATTACATAGCAAGTAAGACTTGGAGAGAAATTATTGTTTGTTATTATTTTTGTCTTATTCTGTGTTCAAACCTTTTGGATAAAGAATCAAACACCAAAGCATGATAGTATCTAGTAAGAAAGTGATTGAAAAACACCTGAATTAGATTTTAAAAAGTCATATTCAGTATAAACCACTAAAATAAATATTGCCTGTTTATATTGAATTCAAGCCTGAACCAAGCTAGCTGTAGCTGTAGCTTTCATGAAGCACTTTGCAGCAAAAAGGTTAATCTTAAAGGGATAAATATGTTCTCTATGTGAAATGATATCAGTATTGTTACACAGTCTTGTTTTATTTCTTGTTCCATGCTGTGGAAGAGTTTCAGTAAAGTCTTGAACTATAAAGCGATTGTAATCTACCTGTAAAGGACAATAAGGCCTTTTCTGGTCTCTTCTCTGAGTGAACAAACTGGGTCTCTGTTTTTGATCCAATATTTGATTAAATCTTTGATCAACACATCTGTCCTAACAATGTATACCAAGAATCTGGTCTAAGGTACTAACCCAATGGGTTTTTGTGTTCATTGTTTTCATCTGATTTGATCTTTTTATCATATTTCATCCACTTTAGGTCAATATTCACTTTTAAAGGAGGTCACAAATTTCTAAATGAAAAAGCAAGAAAATGTTTATGTCGTAGGATGAATTTGATGGCACAGAAAAATAAATTAAGCTGCGTTGTGTGTCCGATGTCAAACATAGAGTTTATCAGTTAAATGGCGACAATGTAATAAAATCAATGTAACAGTTGGATCCATAATTTTTGCCAGGTGGACCAAAATCGGAAAGCTGAAAGTGCTTGCAAGACACAACAATTCAAATTCTTTTGAGAAAAATCGAGGAGCATTTCGTGTTAAACATTTATTGCACATGTCATATTATTACTGACATTTACTGGCATTTATAACTCCTAAGTGGTGTGTTTATAGCTGGAGGTAACACTATCTATCCAGGAAAGACACTGAAAGTTAAAGCAGTCTCCAAGTGATATGTGAGTCCCTCTAATTGCATGAGGCATGTCTGGGAGACCCCTGGCTGTAGTAGAAGGAGGACAAGAACAGATGCACTACATGACCTTACAACGCTTCTGATAGTAGCACCTAAGTTCCAAGGGCATCAAATGTACCTGGATGCTTTTCTAACAGTGAAACATGTTGCAGAAACTCCCCAGCATGAAGTGATTTACCCTGTGAGCTGACACGCTTTCTTTCTGTGACCCCTAAAGTGAATATTTTTTTATATAGAGATCAAAATACTTGCATTCGTAGTGGAAGAAAATACACAAGAGGGGCCAAGACTAACATGATCTTGTAACATCTTTATAAACTCCAATCCAGTAATTGTCACAATGCTTTGAGGAATTTATTTCTTTTTCTTTTACTTAATAAATCTTACTATGAGATAAACCAGAAAAGCTTATAATGCTCTTTTTTTCTGTATGTTTCATAAGGAAGACCATTGATTGGGACCACTTGTCCAGTTTGGTCTTGGTCCAGCTGTTAGTCTTCAGGTCCAACTAGTCCGGATTAAACTAACTGCGGACAGTTATATTGAGACTTATCTATTGCTCACAAAATCTTAATATAAACCTACCTTAAAAATTCACTTTAATTTGCTTCAAATAAGTACAACAAGCAGCCGGAAATCTCCCCGGTCTATTCTGTTTTGCTGATTACACTGTCAGGTTTGTGGGATATTGATGTCTCTGCGTCTCCATACTGACAGTGTAAACCCTAAAATAGGCAGTAGTCATTCTGCCTCCTCCTTCTCTGTCCATCTTTTGACCCATTGTGAGTCTATTTCTGACTATGGGGGAGCACTGGCTGCCCAAGCCGTGCCACCTGTTCCCATTTGTGACGTCTCCTCACTACAGCAAGCACAAACTCTGCTAAGTAGCTTCACATCTGATACTGTCTGAAGGAAAAATCTTGTGCATTTCCACTGTTACAAGTTGTCTTTCCAAATAAAACAAATTATACCTTTTCCATACTCGAGATTGTTAAAATGAAAATAAGATCAATGCAATTCCACTGAGGTTTCCGGTGCAATGTCTTGACCTTTAATAAACGTCTGAATCCCTCGGTGCTCAAGTTAAATCCTTTAACCTGTGCTTTCGGCTCTTGTCGTGTTCAGTTTCATTAAATTTTCCTCCACTCTGCTGTGAGTGAAATATAATCCTGGGTCTTCAGATGGATAGAAACATTTGTCCATGTTGATACTGTGTAAATACTCATAGCAGATTCAAACATACACATTTTCTAATTTAGCACCTTACCTGCCCTTTCATCTACACCTTGTGAAACGTGGCATTATTTTAGTTTCTTGGAAAGGCATTCCCAACGCTGGGAACACTTTTTACACATCACCTCTGCTGCGAATGATTGTGGCTGCAGCATCATGCTGCACAGATGTTTTTTTCTTTTTCTGGCAATGTCAGTGAAGCTGATGTGAAGATGGATGGAGTTCAATAAAGGGCAATCCTAGAATAATAGCTTTAATATGTAAAGGCTGATGAAGACTTGACACTTGGTCAGAGCTTCAACAACAACAAACTTAAACATAGTCAGAGATAACATACATTGGTTGGGATAAAAGTCTATTGATGTGTTAGAATAGCCCAGTGAAATTCCAAAGCTAAATTCAAATAAGAATCAGTAATAAGGCTTCAAAAATGTTCATAAATGTTCTTGACTCAATATGACTGAGCTTGAGATATTATGCTAAAAGGAACATTTATATGTAATATAAAATATTTCTAAGCATTTCACTTTTCAGCTACACATTGCTTTGTGTTGGTATTTAACATACAATATCAATTAAATTCAGCAAGGTTTGCAGTTTTAAAGATAACATTTTAAAAAGTTCAATGAATACTAAATGGAATGATTCAATTACTATCACAAGTATGATTTATCTTATTCATGTTTAAAATGCTTAGTCCTAAAAACTGAGCTCTACTGCTGTTCATTTTTAAAATATCCTGACTGAACGGTCCCCTATTGAGAAGTCTATAGTTGACCTATGACTCCGTGTCACAGAGCAGTAATGGTAGGCTTAAATCGCCGGCATTCCTGCAGAATGTGCCGATGCCACCAGAATGTTTCTCCAAACTGAGCGAGCGTTGAGTGGCAACGAGCTCAACGAGAACAGAAAGCAGATGTCCAGGGGGGCTCAGATCCTCTGGCGCCTCCGGGGTTAATTCTGTTCTGCGATACCAAGACTCTCCCCATCCCACTGCACAACATTTCTTCTGTGGCTTTTGGGAAGCCTCAATCAGGTATTGACTTCTTGAGGAAGGTGCTAACAAGTTCACAGCAGCTTGGCACACTCTAAGAGCTGGTGTTAAAAGACGTGAAGCTCTGAGTGATGAGGGACGTTGCAGAAGCTTCGGTTACGGTTGAGGACTTTGGCCACAGATAGCGAGGACGAGGCAGATACAAGTCGAAAGGCAATGAATACTTTTGAAGGAATCTGTGAACACATTATGAACATTTTAATTTGTGTGTTCTCTTGATCCCTTTTGGGAGGGCGACTCTTTCAATCTGTTTTAAATATGATGAAATATGCTCGAAAAAAATAGTTAGCAAAATATAGACGTGTATGCCTTTATGTGTGTCGCTGATAACCTTTTGACCTTTTGGTTTCTCTTTGTCGTGCACAGGTTTGGCAGCAACATTGCACAGATTTAATTTTAGCTGGCTGACAGCATAGGAATCAGCACCGTTACGTTATTCAACCAAGTGTACATCCCTGCTGCCTTATAGCAAAACAGAAGCTTCTGAGATTTGTTGATAATTGATTGCTAAGCATTCATTGAGTATTTTTAAGGCTTAAAAAGATCAGTTAGATTCACTTTAAATACAGTTTAACTCATATGTCATAATCAGTTTTTACAATTTGTTTTACTATTTTATCAAAAAAAAATTTATATAGAGGAATAAATTGTTTAGGTAAGACAAAGTAGTCTAACAAGAAGATGTATTAGTCTACTGCGAAATCATCCAACTACTTAAGTTAATTATCCTGAGGCAAAAATATAATCGGAAAATTCAAACAGCAATATGTACAGGTTTTTACCCGCTAAAGCTCTGAAGATCTTTATTATTACAGCCGTTTGCTTCAGCTTTGCTATGCACAATAGTATCTATCGTGGTCTGGGGTGTAATAATAGTCAATGAAGCAAAGAACAGTCATCTTGGATGTGATCTTTAACCAACAGAACATTCCATTCTTTTTGCAGGGCATTTAAATGACCTTGTGGGGTGATAGATGTAGTCATGCAAATGGCAGCCAGTCATTTCAAAACATCAACTACCTTGCGAAGTTGTTTTCACCCAGTTCCCAGATGAACTAAGATTAGGACCATCCAGATATCCAACTCACAGAGAGAGGGAAGTGCAGATGCATAGAAACTTTTGTCCTTTTGTTCTTTCTTCTGAGGTTGTGTCTGGTTGTCATGGAAAAACATATATTCCAGAAGAAAACTGTTTAAACTTTTCTCTTTCATAGTGAAGTTAGGAATTAGAAATCAGAACTAAGACATAATATTTCATTTGTTCATTTGTTCAATCGAATTATTTAGCGAAACAAAAAATGATCAATGGTGCATAAACTTTTATTATCTGCCCCCTTTACTGACTACCCCTGAAAAAATCTTGTAAAAGGAGAACTCACTTATGATTTTAAAAGAAAAAACGTTCTACAAGAGACAGTCTATTTTGACAAAACTGAACAAGGAAAGATCAAAGTTTTATTCCAGTGGCCAGAATTCAGCAGTCTGCACTTTTTATCTGCAGAAAATAAATCTTACTTTTCCCCCTCCTGGTGTCTGAAATGTACAACAAAGAGTTTATGATGAATATTACAGAAATCGCCTGGGCACCACCGTTCCTTGCCAGCCTCCTGCTGAGATAAGAGAGCTGCTCTTTGAGCACAAGTATAAACGTTTTCATGCTTTCTGATCCTCCCATGCAGAAATTCTTGATTTTATAATATGGTGCACTTGAGATTAAAACAGGTTGTAAAACTTCCCATTTACAGCAAATGTTCATAGATTTGAATATAAGGTCTTTTTTGTTTGAATGTTCTTATATTTGTCTGAGAAGGCTGCAGAGAAACTGGAAGATGTTATAGCAAGCAACAAATTTTGACATAACTGGTAGTATTTAGATTACCTAGCTATTTGAACACTCATCAGAATTAGTAGAGGTTATTTAAATAAGTATATTTTCTGGTGCAGAGCTAGTATTTAAACATTGTCTACACATATCTTTACAGAAATAAATTATTACAATGCTTACATTCAAGATGGACAAAAACTGGGCACTTTAGTTTTCAGGAGACAAGGTGAAGTTTTTGATTGTAAAACAAAACTTTACTGACTGAAGACAAATTAAGCCCTGGTGAGTTTACAATACACTTGGGAAGTATGTACTGTGTATACATTATATTAAATTAATCTCTTTTCTGTTGAGAAATTTGTGCAAGAAAACCAAGAAATCAAATTTTCATAAGAATTCCCAACCTTTGCTTTATAGTTTGTTGATCCAGCCTCAAGTCTTTTTGCTGCTACAGGCTCAACATACTTGTTTTGCGGCAGTTTTGCCTGTTTTTCTTTACAGTCACGTTCCATCAGGTTGGATGGGAGGCGTTTGTGCAGCCACTGACAGATCTCTCCAGAGATTGTCAGTTCCTCCAAACATTCATATCATAGAGCTCAAGCTTTGTCTCTTCAGACCATAGACTTTGTACCGGATGGTTCCAAACTTCTCCAATTTTATGAATGATGGACTGAGACCATTTATGAATGATGGACTGAGACCATTGGGACCTTCAAACCAGCAGAAATGTGTATTCTTTCCAAAATTTGTGGCTAAAGATAATCCTGCCTCAGCAGTCTACATACAAGTTTGTTGACTTCACGCTGGGTGTTTGACCTCTGACCTGTATTGTCAACTGTGGTATCTTAATTAGATAGGTGTGTGCCTTTCGTAATCAAAGGCTGTGAATACTTGTGTAAATGTACTGCCTTGGTTTTTACTATGTTTGATAAATGTACAAAAAAAACAACAATAACACTCAAAACTGCTCCCTTTTTGTCATAATCTGATATTTAGTTGTAGTATTTTGAGCAAAGATGTAAGTTTAATGCAATGTGTAATACGGCTCTGATGTAATGAGATGTGGACAAAGTGAAGTGCTCTGAATACTTTCCAGTCACTCTAAACTGATATCTTTTGATATTAGTTTTGATTGTTTATTCTGTAAAAACTTTTAGATTCATTTTAAAGTCAAACTGTGCGGCTTCATTTGAAAAGGAAAATGTGAAACCTTTAGACTATTTTAATGTGGTACATCCCACATACAACTCTTTCTGATGTTTATGCACTTGAACAGAACTTATCAGTCTGTGCCTAGTTTGTAAAATAAAATAAATCCTTGTTGAATGCGTGTGACTGCAGGGAACACTCACGTTGGCTCACCTCTTTATGAAACCGGGGAAGTCCCAAGGCTTATCGCTGATGGTCATCATTAAAGCCTCCGGCGGTGCCATGTCTTTGTGTGTTTAATTTCAGCATTCGCTTTCTAAATTAAGAGCTGATTGTACTAACAGCTGTGATCTAAGTAACCCGATAGGTTCAGAAGAGGACATGACAAGTGAGCAAATATGTCCCTGTCAGATCCTCTGCCTCGTTCTCCCTCACACAAACAGCCAGTGGCCAGTTATGGTAAAGAATTCACATTCAGGTCTTTTTTTGGTCATTAAATCCCACAGACAAACTGACTGAATATGAAGCATTCAGGCGTCGCTGCTCCTACAGTTTCTACGTTTATTTGTAATAATAGTATTTTACAAATGGTGCTTCACTTAGCAAGAGGCTTTGGGCCATCTAAAACCTCAGATTACAAACTCCTGATGTCAACAAAGTCTGCCTCACTTAAACCCATTGTTCTAATGTTCTGTTGGATGCTGTGAATGGGCATCATAAAATTCAGGTGACTCGCACTCATGTTTTGTGTTGTTTTTGTGTTTTTACTTTTCTTTCAGAGGTGGAAGAATTTGATTCTGTCCTAAGAGACAGATCTCATATTGATGAGACGCTGCGGCTTGCAGCTGAGGAAAAAGCAGCAGACTATGCCGGTGAGGAACACAGAGTTTGTTTGTTTTCATCATCTTGCGCTGATCAGAGGACTGAATAGTTTAACAAAGTTGCTTTTAGACAGTCTTAGAAACTACATTATAGAAAAAACATTGATTTTACATCTATAATAAATAAGCATGTTCCTGTTTGTTGCTGCAATTCCAAAAATAAAAGTTGCATCTCATTGTGCCAACATTTTGTTCCTATGTAAATAATCCTTTTGTTAACACTTCCTCTGACACTGGTCCACTATGTTCTGCTCTCTTATCTCGTTCTCCAGCGGCTATACAGAAGTTGCGGAAGATCTACCATTCGTCCATCAAACCAATGGAGCAGGCCTACAAGTACAACGAGCTGAGGCAGCATGAGATTTCAGGTATCACTCAAACCGAGTGTTCAGTTTGTCTTCGCTTTATCTGTTGCGTGGATTCTACTGATAAACTTTTTTAATGCACACTTTTTTTGACACTGTCCAATGAGGTTTAGAAGATTTCCTTTCTGTTCCAGTGCCTTGCAAAAGTACAGATAGGCCTTTCCCACATTGAGTTGTCACAACCACAAACTTCAATCTGTTTCACAGGGAATTTATCAAATGAACCAACACATATTTGGAGTGAAGGTGAAGGAAGCTTTTATGTGATGTGGAATGTTTTCTACAATTAAATTGCTGAAAAGTGTGGCGTGAACAAATAGCAAACATACTGTAGAAGAGTGGCATAATGAAAGCCTCGACAGGTTGAGTTTAAAGGTTGCCAGAAGCCATTCATGGGACACAGAAAAGAAGACGCTCTGGTCAAGTGAGATAAACACCGAGGTTTCTATGATAACTAAGTATCTTGTGGTTGAAAACTGGCATTCTGAACATTTCTGAGCTAGTCAAAAACATGGAGTCTGTAGTTCTTAGTATTTCTTTGGGTATCATTTCTGATTTAAAAAAAAAAAAAGATCTTAGAACTTAGTACACCGAATGAATTTTGAGAAAACATTTTGAAAGTTGCACAGGCCTTTATGTTCTATGGAAATGAAAAGCTGTTTGTGTACTCTTCCGCATTGCTACAGTGCAACATAAACAAGACAATGCGAAGAGTCAAATTGATTTGACTCAATTTGACTTTAATGGGCACCTGGCAACTGTGCTGGATTGACCTCAGATAGGTGGTGGTCTTGGTTTATACCCTACGCTGTGTTCACACCTACACAAACAAAGAAGAATGAAGGGTAGCTAATCAGAGTTTGTTTTAAATGGAGGTTTAAATACCTCAGGTGTGAAAACACTCTAAAAGCTGTTGACTCAGGAATAAAAATGCACACCACACTTTTCAAATTTTGTAAAAAAAATAAATAAAAATAATCCTTTTTCTTCACATTTATGCCCTGCTTTGAGTTAGGAGGAGACCAGAAATCTTTTTAGAATGAAATACAATAAATTTCACCCTCATATGGCTTTCTAGGCTTGGTTTGCATGCAGAGATTTAGTTTCTATCAGGGTCTAAGAATGTCCTTTTTGTGAGGGACAGTAAATTCCCGTCATTGCCTGACCACATGAGCACACCATGCATTTGTTGACAGACATGTTTGACGACTTGTAGGTCAAATATGCCAGCGTAAATTCCAGCCATGATCTCCAACTCATTCATGTACATCGACACTCTTCCCCTCCCCACTGCTTGTAGAAACCTTACTCCCTTACTGAGCTCTCCTTCACTTCCTCTCACCTTCACTTCTCTGTCCTCCCCTCATCCCCATCTCCCCTCATCTAACAGCATACCCCGGACGAACCCTGGGCGACTCGGCCACAGGTGGGTGTGGGCAGGGCTTACCTGTGCATGGCACTGCCTGAAGAGCTAAGCCCCTTCCTTTCACCCTTCACAAATCTCCTGTCTGTGTAGCTACAGTGTTGTGAAAACATTTGCCCCATTAGAAATGTAAACCACTTTTCTTTTTTTAAATAGTACAGATCAAATTACCTTATAATAAATTGTGATTATTCACAGTTTAGATTTTTTAGTCACACCAAGGCTTGTTTACTGCCTGTGCTGAAGGACCAAGAAATTACTTGAACAGAGCTTGACTAAATGAAGTAGACAAGATCTGAAGCAGAAACACATTTTGCCTCAATTTCAATCCACTGCTGAAACAAAGAGCACACAGGATTCAAGTCTACAATAATTTCCTCAAGATATGACAGATATTCAGGTTGAATGTTCAGTATTCTACATTTAAACAACTTTAATATTATCTGATTAGGCGTAAGCAAGGACTTAGGAACAAGTCTGTCATTAGTGGGGGACGTAAATCAGCTTCTCATTCTGATGAAATAAAACATTGTGGCGAGAAGCAGCTAACTTTTAGACAAAGTTAGCAGTAAAATTTTGGACATGTGGCTATTCCCAAATTAAAATGGTTTAACCAAAAATATTTTTGTTATATATGTGAAAGTGAACTGAGAGCAAGATATTATAAACAAGCGACATTCATGACAAAATTCCCAACAGGCGGTTTACCTCATTAATATGGAGTTTCACACTGAGTCCGGTCTGCACCCTTTTGTACTCGCAAATATTGAGAGTCATCTTTTGTGCTGACCATGCTATTGTGTAGCTAGTTTGGGTTCCTTTATAGGATCACTGGTCATTTGGAAGATCCCCTTGAACTTTCAGTCTCAATAATTTGCTGACATTTCTTTTTGCCATTCTTCTTGCAACACCCACAGATACTAACCCCTAAGATTCTTTGGGTTGCAAGCATCAAATAAAACACTTCAAAACCCCGGTGAGGGTTCAAAGTTCTCAGCATCCTTCATCTGTTTCTTTCCAACATCTGACCAGTAAGCATCGTTGGATTGGACATTTTGATCAGGCTTTTACGACTAGGACGAGGAGGAGGTAGGGGTGGTTGATAGGCCCATCTGGGGAAAGTGCATCGGAATCCAATACATGTCACAGTTAACAGAATTTTCTGGCTGGAAACCCATTTGGGCAAAGAACAGGTTTTCATTAAAGGTGTCAGAAAAAAGGCATGCTCATCCAGTCTCTGTAGGAAGGCTGGCCTGCTTGATTTAGAGCTGAAGGGTTTTGTGGAGGAGAGACATGTACAGACAAACTGTCAACTTCTTTGCCCTGGCCAGACCACTCTGCATCATTTGGAGATACACTTTGAGAAGGTGCAGCATCCACTGGTGGAGTTTGGGGTTCTGCCTGACTTATATGTATATATTATAATAAACAAGACCATCTGACTGGTTAACCTAGACACCAACTAAGCTGTTGTCTGATGCCTTCAACAAATGGTCAAAAAATAAATATTTCCTAAATATTTATTTAATTTAAAGAAACTTTTTTGTTAATTTTGTAATAATATTTTTATATGCTTAATGGCAATTGTTACTTCCAAAAGAATAACAAACGACCTGTTTGGTAATTGCTTATTTTAAATCACTAAATAAAAATATGTGTTGCATTTATCCAGGTTATGTATGTCTGACAACATTTTTTTTATGAGATGAAAAATTTCGGTGTGACAAAAAAAGCAAAAACAAAATAAATCTTTATCGGGGACAATGCTTTTTCATGACACTGTAAATATTTCAAACATGCTTCTTTTTGTATAAAACAAGATGTCCTGCATTAGATTGTCATCAAAACAATATTTCATTTAACGTTTCTGTCCACAGAACGCTGCTGTTTTTGGAAGCTGTGCAAATTAAAATGGGGAGGACATTAAGTAAATAAACATTTTTCCACAGCTGCTTTGCTCTTTCATTTTGGGGGCTGGGGAGAACTTTTGATTTGTGCAGGAAGTGTTAAAAGCATAGTGGGAATGTGCAGTTTCGGCTTTAGCTTTGAAGAGCAGGATTTGGGTGGTCTGTGTTCAGATAGAATTAAACACATTTTGCTCCTGATTTAGCTATAGAAATACATGCATTACATTACTTTCTTCAAAAGGCTCATTTTACAAAGCATCATTACAGACCATGTTACCTTTAACCATTTCCACATAACAAATGGAAAATTGCCTGGAGACACAACTTACAGTGTTGAATCTGTTTCAGAATTTCTTATCCTCTTTTTTATGCTGTGGCTGCATTTCCAAAAAAATATTTTGTTGCTGCTAACACCTGTCAGCTGTAGCTTCAGTGTGTTTTTGGCTCATTTTTGTATTTCTTAACTTTGCAGCCTCCATGTGCATGACTGAGGCTGACAGAGCTCCTCCAGTGCTCTTTAATAATGTATGAACCTCTTTTTCCTGAAAAACTTGGTATGCAGTGTGATGCAACAATACAGACAGAATGCAATACTTACTATGGTACCTTGCAAAAGTACTCAAATGCCTTCAGCTTCCTCACATTTTTAATGTCACATCCAGTCTCTGCAATGTATTTTATTGAGGTTCTAAAACAAAGATTAACATAAAGTAACATATATTTTTGAAATCAAAGAAAAATTTCCATGGTTTTTAAAGATTTTTTCACATAAAAAAATTATTGAAGTGCTGCCTGTTTCTGTATTTAGGTGCTGTGTCTATTCTGATACTCCCAATTACAATACAGTGCAGTCAATTGTCTTCAGAAGCTTTTTGGTGTCCATGTTAAACATTATTTTAGAAAACCAACAGTGCAATCGCGCTGAACACTGAAATATGTTTTTGGCAGCATCTCGTTGTGGGGTTGAGTTTCTTCTACAAGGACAACGTAGCTAGTTAGAGTTGATGAGGAGACAGATCCAGCTAAATACAGTGGAAAACTGGAATGAAACCTGAAACTGTTGTTCCAGCGGGACAGTGATCCTGTACCTACATCCAGAGCTACAATGGAATAATTCAGATCGTGGATATTCATGGTTTTATAAAAAAAAGACAAATGGGAAAAACTTTAAAAACCTGCAGAAAAAAAACTTGCAGTTGTAAATGGAGCAAACAATTATCCTGCAGATTGGAAAGTGCATGGTTTTAATTCCATGTCACAATTATTCACCACTTTGTGTTTCTCTAGCACATATAATTCCAATACATTGAAGCTTGTGGTTGTAGTATGCCAAACTTTGGAAAAGTTTAAATGGTAAGAGTACCTTTGCAAGGCACAGTAAATGGTAGATGCTATGAAAACCGTTGTTACTCTGACCTGTTTTCTATGAACCAGATGGTGTCTTTGGAGATTATTCATCCTAAAGTTGTTTGTTGCTGCTATCATCATATGCAAAATGATGCATTTCAAAATTATTCAATTTTCTTTTTGATCTTTTAATATGGCGTCACATATTAAGCATCATGTAAAACAATTTTGGGGCTGATTGATTAGAACATTGTACGCATAGAGGCATTTCCTTTAGTTCGGAAACAGTTTCCATTTAGAATAAATGTGGAATTTTCCGCTTGATGATTTTTGCAACCTCACTCAAATTTTCATTTCCCACCTAACAGATGGAGAGATTACTTCCAAGCCCATGGTGCTGTTCCTTGGACCCTGGAGTGTAGGAAAGTCCTCAATGATCAATTACCTCCTGGGCTTGCACGACAGCCCATATCAGCTTTACACAGGTATACCATGCAGCTATGTATTGCCAATGAATCATATTAGTGGGTCATTTTCTGGAGAAAATGGAACAAGAACATCTTTAGGAAGATTAGAAGAGTAGTATTGACTCTCACAAATGGATGTTTAACAACATTTGCTGAATGTTGTTGACGCTTTCTTTGGTGAACGTTTGTCATATTTATTGCCTGGAAAAAAAATATGTTGGCCATTTGCTCCACCTTTCTTGCTAACTTCTTCTCTTTCTTAATATCTTTTGCTCTGCAGGAGCTGAGCCCACTACCTCTGAGTTTACTGTTATAATGCACGGGGAGAAAATCCGTTCTGTAGAGGGTATCGTGATGGCAGCAGATAGCTCTCGCTCATTTTCTCCCCTTGAAAAGTTTGGCCAGAACTTCCTGGAAAAGCTCATCGGCATCGAGATGCCTCACAAGCTGCTAGAACGTGTGACTTTTGTGGACACACCGGGAATCATAGAGAACCGAAAGCAGCAGGAAAGAGGTGATAGAGACAGTTCACTTTGTATATCCATATCAGAATGAAAACAAAAAGAAAGCATCTCTTGAACATTTTAGCATTTCTCTCAATATACCACAGTCTTTCATATTGTTCATCGGAATTATGCGTGAGAAATTGATCTTTTACTAAAGATTACAAAAACAGCAACAGTGTTTTTTCAAACATCATAAAAGAGCTACAATGCAGAGCTCCCAGAAGTCTTCCTATGCACTTTAGCAAACCCACTACATAATTATTATTCTGACACCATACAGGAAAAATGTTCTGCCCAGAATAAGCAACAATAACAAGCTGTAAAACTCTAGAACCTATGCTGCAAATAGAGGACAGCATTTTGCTTTTGCAGCTTTTCATACACCCTAATGGTGCGCATCATCTTGAACTGGTCCAACACAGGGCCAAACAGCATTAAGCTGTGGACATGTTGATCAAAGCCAATGGGACTTGTGATTATTTTTAACATGTCTATGCTTTTGTAAAGCACTGCACAGTGCAACATAAATTGTAATGCAATTTCTTTTCTTCCACCCAGGTTATCCTTTCAATGATGTCTGCCAGTGGTTCATTGACCGTGCCGATCTCATCTTTGTTGTGTTTGACCCAACCAAACTGGATGTTGGTCTTGAGCTTGAGATGTTGTTCCGGCAGTTGAAAGGTCGGGAGTCACAGATCCGCATCATCCTAAACAAGGCGGACAATCTGGCCACGCAGGACTTAATGAGAGTTTATGGAGCACTCTTCTGGAGTTTGGCTCCACTTATTAATGTGACTGAACCGCCTCGTGTCTACGTCAGCTCCTTCTGGCCATATGATTATGCCCCAGACACCAGTCGGGAACTCTTCAAGAGAGAGGAAATCTCCCTCCTGGAAGATCTTAACCAGGTGATTGAGAACCGAATGGAGAACAAGATCGCCTTCATCCGCCAACACGCCATTCGTGTGCGCATCCATGCCCTGCTTGTGGACCGTTACGTTCAGACCTTCAAAGAGAAGATGAGCTTTTTCAGTGACCCAGAACTGGTTTTCCAGGAGATTGTAGATGAGCCGGACAAGTTTTACATTTTCAAATCAATTCTAGCCAAGACCAACGTCAGCAAGTTTGACCTACCCAACCGGGATGCTTACCGTGACTTCTTTGGCATTAATCCAATTGCCAGCTTCAAGTCCCTGGCATCTCAATGTTCCTACATCGGAGGCTGTCTTTTGGATAAGATTGAGAAGGCAATCACCAACGAGCTGCCCGCTCTCCTGAGCAGCATTAACTCTGGCAAGCAGCCCGGCCTGTCGTCCTGTGAGGTCACTGGTTGTGGTGAGAAGCCAAAGAATCGCTACCGAAAGAACTGAGGAACATAAAATAACTTGTCAGGAGGAAGAATGGTGACAGAGGAGGTGAAGAGAAAGGGGGCTCTGGTGGGAGCCAGCCCTGCTTTTGTCTGGACATTTGCATTGTTGAGGAGATATGGTGAGGATTAATGTTTGGGGTGGGGGGGGTTGTCCTCCGGAGAATAAGCTGATATGATAGTGGGAGAAGGAAGCCATCGTTCGATACGGCAGCTTAAGGACAAATAAGAGAAATGAGAACATCTCTCTGATATCAAAGTATATTAAAACATACACCCTTCTCTCTCTTATGGCACAATATTTCTGGACTATCTCACACCAATGGGTTGGGAGGATACTAATGCAAGAAAATGGCTATCAACAAGTGAGTTGACATGAAAAATGATACCAGTTCCATTCTATGTGAATAAAACAAAAGGTGGAAACAGATAAATGTATTGTAAAAATATATGAATTGCATTGCAGCAGGTCAATTCCAAATTCTTCAGAGGTTGTTTTTGAAGTAGCCTTTCTTGTGGGTGCTATGCAAAAGCATTTATGTCTATCTGATCAAATGATTATCTTTGCATGTTAGACTTTCCATTTTTATCTACCAATATGTGTGCTTTTCTTCTGCCATAAAGAAAAAACCCTCATGCAACATCAAACTGTCCACGCATCAAACAAGGCCTTTTTTCTCTTAGATTGGTATGCTCATCACTCTTGGTTTTTGATAATAAAGTAAACAGAGGTCAGGGTTCAAGAGTCTTTGGAGCAGAGAGAGTACGTTCAGCCTGCTACTCTTCTTAAATATTTTATTTTTTATTTCTGATTGTTCTGAATCTTTAACCTGCCAGGTTTTGGTAGAATTTTAAAAGTTTTTTTAGGCGTATTTTGCTTCTCATTTTTGTTGCTGATTCATCACAATGGAAGCTGGAGAAGATGTGCTTGAGTTGCAGCTGTCTTTTTTACATTTACTCTACTGTTTTCTCTGCACATTTATCTGTTCATTGTCCTTCGCTGATCCAAGACCATTTCATGTGGGCAGCAGGTTCAAGAGGGGAACCTAAGTTACTTCTTCTAACATTTTCCAGTTTGTTCCTGTGGGATCTTAAGGTGATCTCAGTCCAGAAAGGACATGCAGTGCTTCCAGTAAGTTTTTGATCTTCCCCTAAGTCTTCTCCCAAAGAAAACATCCAAGACCAATGAGACATGCTCAAAGAAACATCCAAATAATATGGTCCAAAGACTACATCTGACTACTTTCAATTTAAAGGAGCAGTGACTTGGCTTCCACCACATGACTGGATCAACTTTGGACTCTCAACCATCATCTATAACTCATGAACATAAGAAGGAGTTAAAAGTAAAATTGAAATCTAGAGATTTGTTTTTTTTTAGCTGACCCATTTCTTCCATACCACAGATTGGAGTAGTGGACACATTACTGCAGACAAGGGTCCAGTCCATCTTTCTAACTCCCACTGTGTCTGACCTTCGCTCAGGCCAGACACAGTGTCTCTGTCACTCACAAAAGAGACACAGTGACACTTAAATCACTCTATTCAAGGCAAGGATTGAGCTACAATCCAAAGCATGCAATCAACCTCTTCTTCAGGTCTCAGATTTAAAGGAGCTGACACTTTTTTTGGCTACCTCACACTTTGCTGCTGACCAGGCCAATGCACGCTGAAAATCTAAGCAGAACCATATCATGTGCAATAAGTACCATATCATGTACATATCATGAATACCATAGTATACAAATGTCTGATGCAGGACTGGTGACCATGAGCCGCACCGGTTAAATTCAGTATGTAATGGAAACAGGAGAATACAAAATACTACTTTTGCTTTGGTGATTTAAGGACTGTGACAGTCCTTACAGGCTTCTGTATCTACCCAAACTCCCCATGATCTCCACAAAACATTTGATACAAGCTTTTTAGAGGTCCACATAGCACATGTAGACTGGACAACCTAACTCCTATGACTCATTTAAAAGCTCTACAAAGGTAAAAATCTGTTTCTTTCTTCTGCAGTATTCTACTAAACTCTAAATGTAGATTTTCTAAAGTGTTACAATTTGTGGAGTGAATTACTTGTAAAATAGCACAAAACAGGGAAATGCAAAACTGAAGATTCATGAATTTTCCCCTGACCTCTATGGAAACGAGATAGAGTCTAACCTTGTTATCCCAAAGAACTTTGCAAAACTATCTTGTTAAAGTACAAATCCAAATAGTAACAACCGTCTGAGATTCAAGCATATTATATTCTGTTACCAACAGACTTAATTTATGTGAAGAGCAAGTAAGACAAACCTATCTCATTTGTTAGGAGAGAAAATCCATGCTGTTTTAAAAAGCCTTCACAGTCTGTGAAAAACAGTTCTGAGTCCTGCAAGAGCTCTGCACAAAAGGGAGCTGAGTGAGGAGACAGGAACTTCCGACTGACCTCACTAACATCCTTTATTGCTTTACACATCCACACTTTGAAGCATGATGCAAAGAACATCAAAAATCAAGCTCGAACAAACCCGTTTTCCCAACTCTGTTCACAAGTGAGTGCTCTGGACGTTGTCTTTGTGCTGCAAAGGCGGAACATGGCCGCCAGAGGGTGCTGTTTAAAAAACCCCAAGAGAAACAGCCTTGTGAACTGCGCGCGGTTTAAGACAAAAACTGGTTGTGCCTCTGATCTATTTCAGTGTCAGTTTTATTCACCTTTTAGATGATGAATGGATGTGTGTCCTGTCGAATATAGTTGACGTTTCGGCCTTTCGTATAACACTGATGTTATCACTGGCCCAAGTTGTGGATGTTTGTCAGAAAAGAATAAAAAAATATTTGATTGACTTGTTGAGAAAAATGTGATTGTGTAGCTAAAATGCAGAAAGATTTTAATAACCTTTTTTCCCCCCCACTTGTTGAGTTCCTTTCTCACACTTTGCCCCTTCGTGTTTCAGAAAAAATAAGGTCTCAATATGTGTTTGAAATTAGTCAATCATAAATTGGAGAGGAATGTGGTTCAGCAGGAGTCCATGCCACAGCATTCTGAGCTGCCATAGACATCAGACTGTAAAACAAACCCCAAAAAATAACAGGACAACTATTGCAAATAGAACATCAAACACATGATTAAGCATATAAAAGCATCCTTCACTGAAGCTGGCTTTTAAAAAAACATGCTTAATGTAACTGTTTTAATGTCCTTAATAAAAATTATCTTACTGCGGCTCACTTGAGAATAGAATGAGTTTTGAGGCTGGATAAGTACTGCACGGTGTTACAATGTGGGTTTGATTCATTTGATCCAGTCCAGTTTTCTGCAACTCAGATATCCACACAGCTAAATCAAATATGGTCAAAATACCACATCAGCAATTCCTACAGGAGTCCTATAGAATCTTGTGATGGCAACATAATCCTGTGGGACTGCAGTTCTTCTGTGAGAAAAGGTAAGTTGGTTGGAGTTGATGCGAAGTCAGGTGGAGTTCATTCTGAAATAATATTTATTAGGATTAACATCTAATTTCAACCCTTGATAAAGTCCTCTGCATATTAGAGGAAAGTTGGATACTGGTGGTTGAGATCAAAGCCAGTCCAGATCGAAATCCAACTGAGATGATGCAGAAAGTCTTGAAGACTGATGCAAATCCCAGTTTATGTGCAAAGCCAGGAGTCCTTAAAGCTTTATATTGAACAAAGAGGTGTTTCCACATTATTAACACAGCGGGATGCTTGTAAATGCGAACAAATGTCTTAGATTTTTAAGCAAGAAAGGCTCAATTCTGGAACAGCACAGCTGGATGAATGAAGATAGGGTCTAAATCTGAATTATTAAAATGACACAAGCATAAAGTTGCACTTCTCATACACATCGATGAAAAAAACAAACTTATTTTACTCATTTAATCCTCAAGTACTGGGTGTTTTCAAATAATCAGAGCTTTATTTTTCTATTTTATGCAGCCTAGTTGCAGTGAACATTTGCTGCTTGTTAATAAGAAGTCCTTTCACAGTGCCCAAATGACAACAACGTTAATAACACGCTGATTGAAATGTGTGACAAATCACTTTGTAAGTGGCACACTTCTGTTCATTTTCAAACTAAAGCCCAGCACATAAACTAGACTGTGAAAGCAGAAAACACACAATCTTTAAACATTTGAAAAAAGAACACACTGTGTCTTGTTTTTGTCCCACCTTATGCACTTATTTAATTAGCTTTCTTGTCATTTCTTTGGTACGCCTCTGTGTTTTCCAGGCAATTTTGACCATCAGGTTTGTTAAATCCATTTAGGTATTATATGTGTTATACCCACATGGATTTAATAAATATAACAAGGGAAAATGACACAGTTTCCCTTTCCTGTCATGCACCTGCAGATGCATCTTTATTGTGAAGCTTTGTCATTGAAATCATCCTGATGCTTTTGTTTTTCCCTCAGGTACATGCATTTAGTCTGGCCCTCCCTCCCAGCACTCAGCTCCTCTGCGTGTGAACGCCAAACACAGCAAACAGCAAACCGGATGTCAGGCTGTTTCAAAATAAACCTAAATAATGTACATTATGAGGGCGTTGCAAACTTATTAAATAGCTTCTTTGTTAGTTCAGGGAAGGGAATTGATGTTAAGGCAGTTACATCAGTAACAGCTGTCACTAATTTCTGCCGATTGATAACAGCTTGAAAAGTAAAACAGACTGAAATAAAGGAATGACATTTCATAAAAAAAATATTAATTGCTGTTAGATTGAAAAGACAAACTGAAAAATCGTGCTGCTGTCAGTGCTGACTGTGAGGAGCAAGTTGCTGCATGTCACTCAGTTATCTGTCAGCCCACCAATGATTCAAAATTGCAAAGTTTTGAGAGACAAACAAAGATAAAGACAAAGACGTGCGTCTTGTTATTGCAACACAGAGTTAAGGGGGTTTGAACTTTAACTCTGTGTTTGCTCAAAGCTCCAGTTTTATTTTTCTCCCTCGCAGCTGCCAGGTGTTATTACTTCTCTTTTTTTTTTTAAATAGATTTGTAAATAAATTTGCACCATGCATGACTATACTAATTTGATTCGTTGGTCATTCACATAAAATGCAAAGGGGTCCCTGTACAATCCTTTGGGAAATGACGTGCAAGGATGACCGTTTTATTGCTAAAGGAAAAGGCGGAAGTGGTTGTTGTTCCATCCTGAGGTAAATTTCTCTCTCTCTCTATCTCTCTCAATGACACACGCGCGCGCGTGCGCCTCGTCTCTCCGTGGTCGCGGCTGTCAGCGCTCTGAAGATGGTGGCGGCTGCTGCCTCTCTGATCGCCTCAGCTGCTCCATCGTGTCAAACATGGCCAGATAACCCCGAGAGGAGACATTCTCGTCGGAATGAGGGATTCAAAGAAAGGCTCTGATATCGTTTTAGTCTCGGGGTAAAGTGGGATCATTTAAAGCACCATCTCCTGTCTGATTCAATTAAAGTGGCTGGATCGAGGCGGGGCTCTGCTTTTTGACCTGTGGGGCCGAGGTGTGGAAGGGGAGCGTAGGTGGGGACCTTTTTTTTTTTTTTAATTAGCTCCACTCAGTCTCTGTGGGCTTTTTTGTCTTCTTGCGTTCGCAAAGGGCGACCCAGCTTTTCCAGGGAAACTTCAGACAAAAGGAAATAGTCCTGCACTTCGCTCAAGGCTTTGATTTTTCTCCCTCGCAGCTGCCAGGTGGACTCCCTGCGCTCCGGATACATTTAGAGAATATTTTTCTTGTGTCTGTCACGGCGGGCTGGTGACATGCGGTGGGATTGTAAAAAAAGTGCTCGGTGAATGCCCTTAAGCAGCGTGTTTGGGCAGGAGTCGCCCGCGGACGCGCTTCTTGCAAAAGAATCCAAACATTCCTATTGGTCGTTTCCTCCACGCGCGCCTGCTCCTCTGCAAGAGCAGCTCGCGCAGAAACCCCCTGTGAGTTTGGATACGGAGTCCGGAGACGCCGGAGCGGGAAGGCAGGAAAACACGGGGCTCCGCGCGCGAGAACATTTGGGATTAGGCCCCTGCAGCAAGAAGCATGTGGCTTTATGCGTTGAACAGCTTTCGGTGTGTGCGTCTCTGCGCGCACGTCGCCTCAGGTGCGGGGAAAGTCGACCGTCTTTTTGATCACAACTAGCAATATGAGAACCCGAAGCTCCGCGGACGAGTTACTTTGCTTGAACTTTGTAAACAAAATATGCTCTTTTACAGGAAGCATTGCTTTACATAGACAACTTGAGGAAGAGGGGGGCTAAAGACTGACTGAATGTGGACGAGGTATTGTGTTGAGTTGTCCAAAGAAAGCGCTTAAAAAAAACCTCTCGGTTACGCTTTCATAGTTTTCTAAGCCACTTCCTGCTCCCCAACCTTTACTTTCGGGATAGATTTACAGTTTTATGTAATATTTTCCAATGACGGGAGCAAATCTCTGGGCTGCGTGGAGTGGAACAGAGCAGGCAGCGAATGAACCTTGCAGTCTCAAGTGCGTCTAAACAGACGGGAATGTAGAGGAATGCAGCGATTGACGTCAAGAGGGGCAATAATGAACCACTCAAAAACTTTCAATAATCTTCTGGTATTGCTGCAACCAGAGCACTGAGCTCGTCTCCTTCTACTGTGTCCACATGCTCTGCCTTACTTCTCTGCCTAGATATTTGTCATGATTTAACTGTGCCTTCTTGTAGTTGTTTTCATTTCGAATGGAGCAATAGACGACATGGCATCTCCCCAGCATCAGAAACTGCTGCCACACAACACAGAAGTGAGCTGTGACTCGAGCGGAGACGGAGGCGTCTCGGTGCGGATTGGCAGCAGTGTCAAGCACAGGCACGGAGGAGGGCCGCTGGGCTCCATCGGGGGAGGCCTCATCGGGGCCACCAAGCACTGCAAGTACAGCATCTCTTCGAGCTGCAGCTCCGGGGAGTCTGGGGTGAGGAGGCCCGTGGTGAAGAGTTTCCGCGCTCATAAAGGGATGCCCCAGCTATTCGAGAGGTCAGCAGGTCACTTCTGGGACCCAAAGTTTGACTCGTCTATCTTGGAGGAGGCCTGTCGAGAGCGATGTTTCCCTCAGACCCGGCGGCGCTTCCGCTATGTGCTCTTTTATCTGGTGGCTGCCAGCTTCCTCTGGGGGTTGTATTTTGCTGCCCATCCTTCCTGCTGCGACGTAGTTGTTTTTCTCCTCCCTACTGCTTTCTTTCTCATCTTCTGCCTTCTCCTCTTCCTAATGACTTTTACCAGGCTTTATTCCCGCTGCTACAATCAAGCATCTCTGCTGCTTATCCTTGTAACCTTCATATTGACCCTGGCCCCTCAGATTCAGACATTAGGATTCAGGAACCCAGATGGCATGTCACCCGATTTAGATCAGGAAGAATTCAGTGGCATGGGGCCCACATACAACACGTCCAACGACAACCTCGTTAGGAGTTCTAATAAGTTCCCCTGTCTTTCTCCTGTGGGCACTTTCTCTCTCTGTATTGAGGTTTTGCTATTGCTGTACAGTGTTCTACACGTTCGGCTTTATGCATCTCTCATGCTTGGGTTGTTGTACTCGGTCTTATTTGAGATCCTGGGCTGTTTACTCCCAACTCAGGCAGGAGGGAACTGGAGCTGGGCTTTTTCAACAGAGCTGGAGTTGTTCAGTTGGTTGGGTCCAGCCAAAGCCCTGCTTCATCTCTGCGCTCATGCAATTGGCATCCATTTGTTCGTTATGTCTGAAGTGCGCTCGCGCAGCACCTTTCTTAAAGTCGGACAGGCTATTATGCACGGAAAAGATCTGGAGGTGGAAAAAGCCCTGAAAGAGAGGATGATCCACTCGGTGATGCCAAGACTTGTGGCAGATGAGCTGATG